CGTAGCTAAGATTGTCTGTGGTCTAGGATTTGTCTAATTCTGTCAGCAGGGGAGATTTTATTGTTCAGTTGAATAAGACAGAAGGTAATATAAACTGTTTTGTTTTGTTTTCTGAAAATTCAGTCCCATATTTACAGATACATATCAGGATATTTTCATATGACGTGTCTCCTCTACAGGCAGAAGTAGAGTTAAACTTTATACCAAAATCTTACTTTTATGAATCTTTCAATGGTTTTAAAAAAAAAATACTGAAAAACAGTGTTAATTCAACCCACACAGTCTATCATTGGTATCCTGTGCTACTGCCTACGCTCTGTGTAGTCATTTGCACTTCTGTCAGGTGGAAAATACTGCATAGAGGGGCCAGTTCATTGCTACAGCCAGTGGATGGAAAAAGAAAAGTCCTATTGCAAAGTGTAACTCAGTATGAAAATAAACTGTATAGTGAACGAATTATTAGAGCAGATATTTTTCCTTATAGACACTGTTTACTTCTGATCCTAACGTTCACATGCTTTGAGCTGTTAAAGCTGAACTGAGCAATGATCCAAGCTGAATTGCTTTTGGTTTTTAAAAAAATTCTTGGCCAAACAAAATTTGTAGTCCGTCATTTCTCCTTGGTTGTTTAAGAGTAGAAGTGAAAGCATACAGAGAAGTAAAATTCAAAACTCTTGACTAAGACGTAATTGCAAAATATGATGGGGCAAAAGATGAGGTTTAGGGGGAACATTATGACTCTAGAGAGAAGTAGAGAAATACACGGAGCCAGATAAAAATATGTATGTAAGCACAGATTTTGGAGGTAAATGCAGAAGTATATTGGACGTAAAAGGTGGAAAAAAGGAAGTGTGAATGTATGGGAAGAGTTTATACAGAAAGTTTCCTTCTTTAAACCAGTGGTCAACATTATAGCTCTGTGGTTTCAGCTGTTCACAAATGGTTTGTGAAAGCCACTTCCAGATGGCATTATCTCAGTGTCCACAGGTGTCTTCTCTAATTCAACTGGATGTGCCAAGGCTCTAAAAACGCAAAATCATTTGATGGGTCAAGGTGGGCTATTAATTTTGTTCCACAGGATATGGGTTTTGTGTAAGTACGTCTATATTAGTCATGTAAGTCACATTGGTCTTTTCAATTAATAACATACTGGTTCCCTTAGCCCTTTAGTTTCAGATGATTCAGGATGGTATAAGAAAAAGTTCCACAGAAATATTAACTCTTAGTAGAAATTAAAAGGTAGATATGTGAAATAGGCAACAGACTCACAGAAGAAAGGGAATGGTTCCATGGCTAGGAAAAACTGGCAGCTGTGAAAACAGGATTCTCTCCCCCCCTTCACTCATAAATTTTTATTAAAGATGAAGAAATTTTTATGACCATAGTTTTCCACTGGCCACTAAGTACTCATTTTTTGATTTTCTACAGTGGACCAGACTGGCAGACTGCTCTCCCAGTTGGAGTTTAAAGTCACTGGTAGTATGCTTTGGACATATGAAATGCTGTACAAATACTAAGTAGTTAAGGAAAATCAGAACTCTTGTTTCTCAGATTGGGAACTCAAAATCCATGGAAACTTGCCATTTTTTTCTTATTATCTCTATGTCTAACTTTGTCCTTACAAAATGGGCATGATAGGAGGGAAAATTCTGCTTCTCCATTAGTGTTTGTGGGTCAAGTAACATTCGTGAAAGCTCTAAAATTCTCTAGAGGAATTTATTAATTTTACTTTTTAGTATAGTGTTCCAGTGTCATACTCAATTCTTAACTACTCATTTATTAAGTGAAGCATAAATCCTTTAGAAAAAATAATATGATTATGAAATGAAAACTATTTCTCCAGGATATTCCCATGAAGGAAATAAATGAGATGCTGTGTGATGCTTTCAGTGTAAGAAATGTGGAAAATAAGTGTTTGATTTCCGTGCATTTGGAGGCTGTTTATTTGATATTTTTTAGCATATTCAAGAGGGGAGAAAAAGTGAAAGTTTTTTTTGATAGGCAAGTTCTGTGCAGTTAGAGTTCTTGACCAAGAAAATATACCTATATTTATTCCCATTAAAATTAATAAATTATCTCACATTGCTTGCAGAAATGCTTGTGGCATGTATTGAAACAAGTATTCAGTATCCACAGTTCAGAACTGCTCCAGGCCAATGGGATTGCAAAATATCTGTCAGCTTTGGCTGACAGCCTAGAGTTGCCACAGCAATTTTTCTCTTTAATGAGTAAAATAGGCAGTGTTTGTAGAAAAATAACTGTCTCATGAGAAGCTGTGCAAAAAGTTCCATTCAAAACCATTCTGTTTATATATAGTTTTGTTGTTTATTTTCTTTCCTTTTTACTTACTGCTGTGGACATTTACATGAAAACAGGATATTTCTCCTTCAAATTGCAGTCATGGACAGAAGAGCCGCTATGCCACAGTGAAAGATATTTTCCTCTCCAAATCTGTTTCTTCTACATATGTAAAGTGTGCAGTACTTATTTTCATATCTCCAGTTTTTAACTTCATTAATTTTATAAAACTAGCAAAACAGTACGGATGTAATGACATGAGAGTATGTTAGTGTAAAAAGATGAAATGAGTTAAAAAAAATCAGTAAAATAAATAACATCTACATTTCTGTATTTGCAGTGACAAAAGACAAAAGTATTTTTACCATGTTTTCTGACATTTTTTAAAAATAGCTTAGAGATAATTGCAATCGTTCAGGAGAAAGATAAATAAGATAAATAAAAAAGAGCTGAGTCCTGTTTTGGCTGATGGTGATCAATAAAAGTAGTGAAGTCAGGCTTCTCCTAAGAAAGTCCATTCTTTTTGATGGACAAATCTACCCTTTCCAGTCTTAGGTTGAATGCAATATCCTACCAGTTTGAGAGGTGCATTAGACTACCTTTACTGACAAATACCACATTTCTTTCAGTCTTTTCGAGTTCAGCAATGTTTTATAATGCCACTAAAGTTATACTTTAGGGATACAGTGCTGAATGAGAGCGCTTTAGCACCCATATGTGATTTCATAACATAACAGCTTAGCCCTTGGCTCCAAGTCCATCTGGACATAGTTGATACATAGCAAAAGCTCTCAACTGCCCAGATAGTTCTGTGCCACTTACTTCTCTAGCAGAAATGGATAGGAGAGTGGGTACAGCATACTGCCAGATCTTCAGCCACTGTAGCACTCATCCTAGAAATAATGAAGGCAGGAATATGAATTATGAATCATGGAGTCTTCCGGCTGGAGGGCTACTTCATCCAGAGCCAACTTCCACCTTGTAGAGGCTCACTTGCCCTGGACTAGGATACCTGTGGCTTATGACTCAGCTGCTTTTCTTGTTTCTCTTCTCTTCAGTATAGGGCTGTTCTCTGAAAACTGATACGTATCTCTGCAAAATCCTTTGTACAAAGCTGTCATCTGCTTGAACAACTGCTGAATTTATGCTAATTGCACTAATAATTAAATATTCCCTCTCTGGTTAAGAAATTGAACAGCAAGATTTCAGGACAGATGAGTGTAGTCCTCTGATTATACAGATTTGGAGAGAAGTTAGATTACACAGGTTCCAGCTTGTACTGTTCAGATAATGTTTCCAACTTCAGGAGGGAAATATTCCCAGGGGTAATTGAAAATCTTTAAGATAATCTTTTTTTCTTTTTTTCTCTCAAATAAGTCTCCAACATTTCCTACATAGTCATTTGACACAGTCATTTGACTGTATTTGACTTGAAAATCCAATTAATTACTAATCTCTTTACCTTCTAGGGGCCACAAGATACACGGCAACACTTCTGCACAATGTTGCTAGGAATTCTCCTTTCAGATGTATTCTTTTTTGGTTGTTTTTTTTTTTTTTTGCCACATTAGTTCCCAGAGTTAGGGTCTGCTTGCTAAGGCTGAATACCGTATGAATGTGACTCATAAGGAGCCAAGCAGTGGAAAGAAACGTTGAGGGTACTTTGGAGAAGTTTGTTGTGTTTATTCCTGTTTTAGGGTTGATCCCTATGTAACTGGACAACAACTTGTTGAGCTGTTTCTAGTTTAGTCTGGTGCTTGATGAAATGTTTGGAAAGTAATTTGGCACAAATGAGCTGCTTAGTTTCTTCAGTTATCAATTCGTAGAATTCTGTTCCCACCTAGTTAACTCTGTGCTGCTTCAGCAAACTTACATATTTCAACAGCAGGCAGCTCATCTTCATAATGTCATAAAATGCACTACAAGGTAACTGTAAAAAGAGCAAGAAATGCATCCCTGAGGATTAGCAGGGCCTGAAATTCTCATGAAGGAGCACAGCAAGTGTACAAAGGTGCATGAGGAAGAGGATGAGAATATTTTAAAGCCTGACTGCCACAAACTTCTCAGTGGAGCTGAGTCAGCATGGGAAGAAGCTCAGTAATGTGGTGTTGATTCAGAGGCCTGTGGCTCACTGCTCCCCTTTTGGGTGATGTGGAAAGCACTTGCCGGAAGTGTTGATGACTAACCTTGGACACTGCAGAATGCTGCTGCTGTGGCTCCTCAGCCCATCTCTTGTGCTGCTGCATTCCAGGGACATTCCACTGGGAAAAATGACGGGGCATGAAGCTGCATATTAGCAACAGTCAGCATCTGTCCAACAGCCAAAAGATAGAAAGGATACCAGTCATCTTCTCTGAAGTTTTAGTTTAAGTATTCATTTGCATTTGAGAATTCAAAAATGTTTTTGCTTCACTGGTGTTTGCGCAATGGACCAATAAGTATAGCAGATATACATAGCTTATACAAATGAATACTCAGCAGTATAACTTCTGTCCCTTTTGTGAGGGAATGCTTATGTAAAATAGTATTTTGCTGTGCTATTCCTCCAGCATTTTGCACACCGAATATGAGGCTTTCTTTTGCCTTTCTTTCCCCCATATTTCTTCATGTTTTTCTGTATAGAAATGTACAGTCATAGAGTTGACAATTAATTTCCTGTTAAATTATCTTTCTTCCTGACCTCCTTCTGTTTTCATTGCCAGCACATGGATGCTACAACTGTAGGACTGTGCTAACTGACCCCTCTGGAGTTTTCACTTCTCCATGCTATCCAAATGATTATCCCAACAGCCAAGCTTGTAAATGGATCATCCGAGCACCTCATGGATTCATTATACAGCTAACATTCAGTGATTTTGACATTGAAGAAGCACCGGGCTGCATTTATGACTCATTGACATTGGACAACGGAGAGAGCCCAATGAACCTTTGTGGCATCACTGCCAAGGGATTGTCATATAATTCTACTGGAAATGAAATGATTGTGTCTTTTAAAAGCGACTTCAGTATCCAAAAGAAAGGTTTTAATGCCAGCTATGTACGAAGTAAGTAAACACAAACCATTTTATCCCTTTTACAGAAAAAATATCCTGCTAGAAGTAAATTTCTTACAGGTTATTAGAATTACACTTTACAAAGGAATCATGTGCTCCTTGAGAGGGATAGGTAATGGGGAAGCTGAAGGATAATTCTACAGACTTATGTGTGTTTTTTTTTTAACTAATTTGCTTTTCTGCAGATGAAAGTAAATTATTTTATTCTAGGACATGTAATCTCTCTAATGCATTAGAAAACTTCCATCACACAAAGATTGTAGGCCCAGCAGTGCCCCTTTCAGACAATTCTTGTTGGGCACTTTAAAAGTGGGACATACATACGGAAATATGAAGACCATAATGAGCAGGTTCTTAGCCAAAAGAAACAAGGAGAGCCAAAACCACTGGCGTGGTAAATCACCCTACAATGGGGAGAAGTTCATGCAAAATACAGAACTTCTTCAAGGTTTTTTCCAGTCTGTAACGTAAACTCTCAGGGATGAACCGTCATTGCAAAACTGCTACCTGTATTCCTTGACCTTTTTTTATTTTCTTAAATATATAGCAATGATTAGATTTTAAAAATCCTAGCAACTGCAAAAAAAGACACTTTTCTATCCATGCTTTTCTCCTCAGTGAAGATGACAAATGTGACTGATGTTTATTTTGCAATGTTAAGGTACTGCAAGAAGTTGTTCTTAGCATAACAGTAAAGGACAGCCACATAAATGAGGACATTAGGATGGTTATTTGCTTCTTTTAATTTAAAACCATTGCCCTTGTGTCGTTACTACAAGCCCTGATAAAAAGTCTCTTCATTTTATTTCAATGTCCCACTTATATATTTAAAGTATGCAGTGAGTTCTTTCTGAAACTTTCTCTCCTTCAGAAGTCCAGCTCCCTCATCCTTTCATTGTAGGATAGGTACTCAAGCCCTCTGATCATCTTTGTGGCCCTATTTTGGCCCCATTCCAGCTGCTCCTCATCTTTCTTGTGCTGAAGACCCCAGGTTTGGATGCAGTACTCCAGATGGGGCCTCACAAGGACAGAGTAGAGAGGTACAATCACCTTGCTCTTTCTGCTGGTCACTGCTTTTTGGATACATTCCAGGATAGCCCAGGTTGGCCTTCTGGGTTGCAAGTGCATACTGCTGGTTTATCATAGAATCACAGAATGGCTTAGGTTTGAAGAGACATGAGTCCCTTCAAGTAAGTCTACCTTCCTAATGTGGGCAGGGCTGCCATCCACCAGCTCAGGCTGCCCAGGGCCCCATCCAGTCTGGCTTCAAACATGTCCAGGGATAGGGCACCCATGACTTCAATGGGCATCCTGTTCCTGTGCCTCACTACCTTCTGAGTAAATAATTTTTTCCTAATATCTAACCTAAATTTCCCCTTTTAGTTTAACGCCATTCCCCTTTTTTCTACCAATGTTAGATCAGGTGTGTGCAGCTTTTCATCCCCAGGATCCCCATGTCTTTCTCCACAGGACTGCTCTCAATCAATGCATTGCTTAGTTTGTATCCCTTGTACTGGGGACTGCCCAACTGTAGCTCACTTATGTTCTGTCAGCTGATTGTTTAGAAAGGAAATTTTCAGCCATCTCTTAAGTAACAAGCAAATCTTTTTCATTAAAAGAAATATCAAAATACTTATTGCACATATAATATTTTAAAATAATCTCCCGAATTATAAGACAAAATTAGTTTCTCTGTTTAAAGGAGTTGTAAAATCAAGTAGATCATATAAAATGATATGTAATCAGATTATGCGACGTGGTTTATTGTGTTATTCTTTCTCTTTATTATTCTAGTGCTCAATCTTAACAAATAAAATGACTTTTATTAGGAATTTAAGATGCAATATTATCCTCACATGAGGAAAAGAGAAGAGGACCATGGAGGCAAACATTTTTATATCCGTATCTATTGGTATTTCTGTGAAAGCAAAAATATTACCTCCATGCCAAATTGCAGAGTGCCCTATCTTCATGGATAGCACTCTTACAGTTCAATAGTCTTGGAAGATACCCTTTTATTGTGAATAAGAAGGCTACCCTTCATTGTGGCTAAAGGTGTCAGTGAACTCCACCAGCAAATTACATTTAAATGTTTCACGTGTGTTAGTTTAGGTATCACTGTTAAGGCCTGCTGTTAAGCTACCTTGACGAAGGTTCCTGAATTTAGTTTCCTTACTCCGAACTGGTAACTCTCAACTTGAATTTGACTGCAGATGTTATGAAGGAGAGCTGGCTGCATGCAAATGGGACGAATTATAACATATAGGCCATGTTCTGCATGGCAACTGTTAGCCAGGAAGTGAATACAGAAAAAGAGTTTTGGTAAATGGGTGATAATGTACTGCTTTCCTTTCATAGAAAATAAGTTATAAAAGCCTGTAGACGTTAGATCATCAACACACATGCTCTGAAATTACGAAACATCTGCACAGCAGATGTCCGAGCAATACTTTCCTGCTCTTGTAGAGAATTCCCAGAGGCATGGCAGCGATGCTACCTCCTCTCATTTCAGGTCACTGTTGGAGTTTCAAAGCCTCATTGTCTAACTGACATTGTTACTATTGTGAACACGATACCCAGGCAATATTGTGAATTTCTCCCAGAGAGGTTACTATATTATAGTTATGTAGCCACGTTTTCCTTCATGTCTTAGAAGCAAACCTGTAAAAATAATAAAATTAAGTTGTTTGTTCAGTTTTGTGTTTGATAAAGGAATGTAAAGGACCATTCAAAGATACACAACTGTTTGCTATCTAGAAATTTAACTTAAAATGAAACAAATAGTGCATCCTTATACAAAATGCGTGCACAGCAAAATATAGGTGGGGAAAACCAAACAGTATGAGTTTGGGGAGGAAATTAGCTGTGAATAAAACAGCATTTGTGGAACAGTGTTTTCAAAACGAGTTTCACAGAACACATCCTGCTATCCGTAACAAGCTGGCTGCCCACACAAATGCTGGTTTTCCTGGTTGTTGCCTCCTGCAACACACCAAAAGCAGATAGATGAGCTGTACACTCAGCAGCAATAAATGAGTGCAGCCTATATGGTATGTGGTGTGTAGACACTGGTAAAACTCAAAAAAACTGGTATATTTCTTCCAGTATCATTTGAAGGACAGTTAAAAGCTGTGAAGCTAGAAAATGGCAGAAAAGCAGTTTTCCCCCAGAATTATTGTAAAATTGTTATTTTTGCTTGTATGTAAAGGGAAGAATGTGAGACCATGATCTGAAAGCAAGTAAGGTAGGAGCTCTAAAAAGAAGCAGAAGCAGACTTCTTGTCATGACAACACTTTTGTAAATGCAGATGAGGATTTCAGAACAGTGAGCTATCTGTTGCTGGTTGCTCTGCTGCATTTCAGCTGCCAAGACTTATTTACATTTTATACAAGTAAAAAGTAATGTGTCCAATATAAAAGCTGTTATCTTCCTAGCAGAAACAGTTTAGCATCACCCTGAATGTAGTATAAATTCTTACATGAAAAGACCAAGAATATATGTATTCTTCCTCAGAGAATAATTATCTTCTTCAGTGCTAACATCCAAAATTCATCAGTGTGATGACTGGCTGTTCAAAAGTGATTGAGAGAGAGCTCCTAATGTTGATGTCAGGATTTTTTTTTCTCCACATGTACAGAATACTTGTCAGTTTTGTGCTTTTGCTGTATGGGAAAGTGCCAACGATTGACTCTGGGAAGCACAGCAATGTTGAGTAGATTTGTTCACTACCAGGACAGCAGCTTTCCTTCTTCCAGTTTATTTCTTTTACACTGTTTAAATGTAACCAGGTGGTCCATAACTCTCCTGACCATTCCAACATCAACTGAGTGGTGCTCATATGAATGAGCTTTTTTCTTTCTCAAGACTTGAATCCTTACACTTCTGGAACACTTTCCATGTTACATAAAGAACTGTACAGTATAATTAAGCCACAAAAAAAAAGCCCTTGTTTTCAGTGGAAAGTTGAGCACGTTTTCTATCTATAAAATTGTTACAACATGTTTTTGCCCTTGGGAAAGAAGAAAAATCTATGAAGTAAATCCAGTAACTGTAAAAGCCCAGGATTTCTCTCTTCAGCCCCATTCTCCAGTTGCTGCTTTGGCACATAAAAGGGTAATGCTTTATGTTATTTTACTGTGATATATATATTGATCAAATTCTGTCCTTATGTATGCCCAGATATGGTAGTCTGGGGCTCAGATTCATTGCCGGCTGCTGGCAAAGAGAAAGTGTAATACAGTGGACGTGTAGGATCTTTATAGCTCATCTGTCTGTTCCAGAATGTGGCATAATAATCACTCTTCTCTTATATATTTTACCCTCTCAAATGGAAAATTTTTCTTACACTCTCAGAAGGGAGCAGGTATAATAGTTATTGTATGTAACATGGCACCATTTAAAAATCCTAAGGAAGACTAGGCATTTCATGTGGCAGTTATCTTCAGGTCTAGCAAAATCCAATTTCAGTTTCAGAATATCTAGAGTGTTAGGAAGATGTCAGACATTTCCTGGAGATATGATCTGCCACAGTACAGAAATAAAGAGCCAGAAATAAAGAAGGGCTACTGCTGTGTATCTGGTCTTGTTGACTTCAGTTCTTTTGCATGACTGATAACCTGAAATTTCTTTCTGTGGAGAAATTCACTAGAATTTTTTTGTGCCACAAGGATCCAATAAAACTGAGTATATTGGCACTATATTTTGAAAAACAATCTTCTCCAAAGTAGACTCAGCAAAATTGTCATTAATACCCTCATGGTCATTTAATACTGCATTTCACATTTGTTAACTGCTATTTTGCCAGTGCAAGTGACAATGCTTAAAAAATTAGAGACAAAGTACTTCTGCCCATGCCCTTACTGCAGTGCATTGCTTTAGAAGAGGACTAGCCAATTCTAGATGCCCATGCAAAATCTGGAACACATTTACAAAAGGGAAGAGTTTGAATGCAAACTGGATACGTAACTACAATGCTGAATCTGAAGATTGCTGAAGACAAAATGAGAAGATGCTTAATGTTTTGTAGAAACTCATTACCAGAATTCAGGAACAAAGGGCTTCAGTTTGCCAAGAAATGTAGAGGAATTTTTCTTCTAATGCAGTATTGATTTTTAAAAGAAGTAAAATCTGAACTTTGTTGGTGTAATGCAGTCATGCAGACAAGTAATCAAAATATTAGAACTTCAAAAATCATACTGTTTTCCAAATAACTGTTTTTCTCTATTGCCTACTACATCTTTCCTTGATGAATAAATGTTAATAAACAAATGTTTTATCAAATGAGTGTAAACTAGTAAGCAATATTTCCTAATATTGCTCTTCGTACAACTTGGGGAGTTAACTGCAGATAGTGCAGCATTCTCCACCCTGTTGAAAAGGAACTCCACATGTTTTAGGTTGAACACTCTGCCAAGCCAAATTCCCTACAGTGTTTGCTTTTGATATATTGCACTGATAAAAAAAAATAAATAAAAATTAAAAAATAATTAAATAACCCACTAAACTGCTGCCAGTCTGCCTTTATTTTTATATGAGAATACCTTCAATTTGAATAATTTATCTCCTCTCTTTTCTAGTTGCTGTGTCTCTGAGGAATCAGAAGGTCATCATTCCCCAGGATCCCGACGCTGATGCTGTATCGATGGCAGAAACAGTCTTGGTTCCAGAGCTCAGCCAGTTCACACTGTGCTTTGAAGCAACCAAGAGCGGCAGTGATGACAATGATGACTGGAAGATTTTCTCTTATACTGATGCATCATCAAAAGAATTTTTCGGCTTTGGGAAGACCACAAAAGGCCATTTTCTGTCCATCTCAGGCACACAGTGCATACTGGAAAACGCGTTGCCTCGAAATGTGGAGTTTTTCACAGGAACATTTGAACAGCTTTGTGTCATAGGGGATAGTTTCTCGGGCACTGTTGGTGTATACGCCAAAAACATCTATCGTAATACATACTGTCCAGATATGTTTGGCAAAGTTATCCCTGGAAATGGGAGGCTTGTGCTGGGCTCTAACAGCAATGAAATGAGCTCTCTAAATGGGGACGTTTACAACTTCCGCCTCTGGAATTTCACCATGAATGCTCAAACACTGGCCAACCTCAGCTGCGATGTGAAAGGAAACATTGTAGACTGGGAAAATGAATTCTGGAGTATTCCAACTTCAGCACTGAAGGCAGAAAACAATTTGAGTTGTGGTAAGTACGCCTTGCCAATCTTTTTTGCTTATTCTCCCTCCATACACACTTCTGCATTGTGCTGAAAATATCTTGTCCTAGCAAGAAAAATGAAAGTTCCTCTGAAAGAAAAACAGGTAGGACTTGTCTTTCTTCAACTTTAGTTCAACTCTATACACAGAGGCTTTGAAAGGGCATAAAGTTGTTTCTCTATGGGAAAAGAAAAATCCCCTACGTGTTTTGAGATGCTACTTAAAATAATTTATGATTCAAAGTTCTTCCCCAGTAATTTGTTTACTGGCATTTTACCTACATGAAATGAGGATCACAGGAAAGTACCTGCAACCATCAGGTTAGCCAACCACAGTCTCCAGAGAGAAAAGAAGTGTGTTAACTAACAATTAAATAAATGTTTTTGTACCCAACTTTTGATGCTTTCATTACCTAGAAAAAGAACCTGTTAGCATTGTGCTGTTAGTGCAGGGAGACAGTAAAAACATTGGCAAAACTCTAATGCATACAAGACAGATGAATACAAAAATAAAATAAAATAAAAAATTAAATTAGTGAAAACAGATGGGAAGGAAGCATTTTAGATCAAAATCATTCATTCTTATCATCCTGACAATATATTTTCTGCCCTTCTTTAAACTGGCAGTTACTACAGTCTTCCAGTAGATTACATTGAAAGACAAATTTTCATACTCAGTCCAAGCTATTCTCATTCTGTGGCTCAGACACTTTGTTCTTATTCATGCCTAGGTGTGATTTGTATATATGCATGTATTATTACAGCTATTTAACAATTTCCTCCAGAATTTTTAACCAGAAAAAGGAAGAATAATTGTAACTGAAAAAATCCATGCCAATTTGGAGCTATACATATACATACATATAAATATAAATATAAATATATATATATATATATATTTTTTTTTTTTTAAGGAAGGAAACAAATGCTTTGATTAGTGAAAGCATCAGAGATATTTGGATGTTTTAAAATGCATAGGGTAAAACTGGAGACATGGCCAGCGATACCTTACACATGAATGTAGGATGCTATTGAAAATCTACTGCTATGGAACTCCTTGTTCATGTTGTCTAAGACTCTCTATTGTAGCAAATATACATTTGTTAAAAAAAAATTAAAATATCAGAGTTAAGAATTCCAAACACTGGTTCTGAAGTATGTAAGGTCTCTTTATATCTAATGTTGTCCTCTCCACTTTAGTACTTTTTAGTTTAAATATAGTTTAAAAAGTATCACTGTCTCCTAACAGAGCACCTGTCAGCATTCTAGGAATGCTTAAAACAGTGCCTGACAAAATTAAGACTTGCTAGTTTCTGTATCTATTAGCTCATGAGGGTTTAAGGTGGCCAGCATATTATATCTTATTATTATAGCATATTATATCTATCTATATCTATATCTATATATCTATATCTATATATCAATATCTATCTATCTATAGCATATTATATCTACCTGCTTTAGTTTACTGAAAGCGAAATATGAAGTAGCTTGATTCACTGAGACAGCTCTCAGCATGCCACTAGGTGCCTACCAGAACAATGAAAAGGCAATCTGAACACTTGTCATGGCTGATGAAGTTGTTCTGAACATAGAAGTTGCTTTTCTGCCCATACAAACAGCAAGTAAAGATCTGAAAGAAAGTAATTTTTCCAAAAATCTTACTTTTCTTAAACTGTTATCCATGAAGGCTACAACACTTTTACTAAACTACATACCAAGGTGTCTGTAGATACTGCAGTCTTATCTGGTTTTGACCAATGTATGGATCTTGTCCCTTTTTCTATTAACACAGTCCTGTGACATTAAGTGTCACACTATAGCTGTGCTCATAGAAACAGTACAGTTATTTTCATTCCACATCACAGCTTTATTTTGGGGGATGTCATTGTTTAAGTGGTTTCCTTACGAAGGAATGTTATTTTAGAAAATATGTATGAGCTTTCTCACATTTGCAGAAGTGTAGGCCCCATTTTCCATGTTTGCTTCAAGTGTATCTCTATATAATAATTGTTGCTTCCTGTAAGTAAGCAGGGTGAAAATACTAACCAGTCTTTTTCAAGGATATTAAATTTCCCACTACTATACAGGGTTCCCTAGAACAAAGCATGTCCTAAAAGAAAACACTGGATGCAATGCAGTTTCAGAAACTGTTATTAATCTCAGAGATGGAATTGTTAGAATTTTCTTCCCTTCATCATCTTGAATAAAAGATATCATTGTAAAACCAGCCCTTAACAGGAGGGTTGATGTGTCAGACTATCAGCCATGAATAAACCACTGACATTGGTGGTGAGATTAACTGATTAGACTTCATTTAGCTGCAATGGAAGGATTTATGCAGAAAAGAGTTTCCTCTGAGCACCAGTGATGCTTTCCCAGGAACTGCTTGTAATAGAAAAAACAAAAACAAAAAAAAAGAAAAAACCAGCCCCAGCATTTAGTGACCATCTTAACACATTTTGCCTGAACAGTGTTTAGATTTTTCAAGAGATACTATTTTCATCATTCTTCAGGTAAAGCTTTTACAAGTAGGCTTATGGAAGATAAAAACACCAACAAACTGTTCCCAGTGATCTTTTCTTTAAATTACCTTCTCCTAGCTTATTCCTTAGACTAATGTTTTCACAGCTGTGCAATCATGGTGGGATGTTTCTGGAAGACTTGACAGAGTTCTGTTTTCATTGCTGTACCTTTGCAGGGTTTGCATTTAAAGGTATATATACACAGCCTGGGTAGCCAAACTAATTTTAAAATAAATAATTTAGGTAGCGAGAGCACTGACACCATCAGTGCAGAGCTCAGTGTAGACAATTCAGAGTATTTAATCAACTTCTTGTAATGATTTTGGAGCCTGTAGTGGCTACACTTAGAGCAGCATGTGACCTGTTCAGTCTAAGGCTTGCTTGGCTGTATGTTCACTTGTACCTGAGATTTCTCCATTGTGTACTTTACTTAAGTCCTTCATTCCCAAATAAAAGTTCTTGATTTTGCTGTCAAACTTAGCTAGGGTGGAATCTGTCTTCATTAGGTAGCTGAAGGATAGGTGTTTAAAGCTGAGCTAAATACACTGAGTGCTGGCTTTGAATTGAGGAGAGAAAAAGGCTGTTCTCAGTGTCAGTTCAACTCACATTAGGGTAGATGTGTCAGTTAAGTCAGAAGTTTTATGCTGCAGGACTGCCTGTTTCCCTCCACTGACTGTAAGGAAAATCTAGCATGACAAGCAGGTACAGAAGTCTGAATTTTACACGTTTAAAGTTGGTGAGATTTATCACACAAATTTGTCTGTAGTGCAGGACTATGTCTGCTGTTCACACTACTGATAATAGTGCTGAATTTGTTAACGGAGCTAATGCCAAGTATTTCTTTGTAGCCAGACCATTACAATTCTTTGGTGATCACTGAAGGAAAGTCTCATCTGGCCAGAGTTCAGCCTGATAAAAACTTTAGAAAGCTCATCTAATATATTGACTAAATTTATTTCTCTTTAAAGGAATACAGCTCTTTAAAGGAATACAGCTCAAAAATTCTTTCAAGTCTGCAGATTTTCTGCCATCTTTCAAGTCATTTTTCCCTGGTACAGAACCAAGAGAAGGTTACTCACAGCAGGTTTTGGTGTTGACTGTTTAATACTAGAAAATATATGTTGGGAAAAAATCTCATGCAGGATATATTATGTTCACTTAGAACATTCTTCCTGAAGTTGAAAGGAAATGCACCAAGGAATTCAATTTGTCTTAATGTTAATCTCTCAAACTATTAAGAAACCCCCCCAGCAAAAAAAAATAAAATGAACACATGTGCACCTCTCTCCCCCCCCCCAACCCTCCCCCCCAAAAAAACCAAAAACAAACAAAAAAAACAACAAACCAAAAAACCCTACAGAAAACTACACAGCTTCAGTCACTGTACAGAATCACTTTTTAAATTCTTCCCTGTTTTCTGTTGGCAATACATATAATGGTATCTGTGGCATGTCATGACTTCTGCACTGAGGCCCCACACTTTGTCTGTTCTTCCATCACAGGAAATATTTTCTCAGCTATCTTTACAAGCTGTGGGTGGTGGCTCTTTAATTTAATGGAAAGATACGGTGTTTTATGAGAGAACCTCACTGAGTCAATACAATTCTGAAGTGGTAAAATGAAAGCCAAAAGGGCAACACTCCCAGTAGGTTCAGAGTATGCCATGCTGTATGGCTCCATTATTTTCAGCATAATGCGCAGAAGCAGCTGTATCTACAGCTGACCCATTGCAATACACGAAGTGTAATTAATGCAGTTTGACTTGCTCTTTCCTTCTGCCATTCTTACATTCCCCATTTTTGTATCTAGATCTTCGGATTATGTTCATGCAGTGATGAATAATTCAGCAGAGATACAGACTTACAGCATTATCTGCTTAAAAATCATGCATACCAGAATATTAATCATGCCCACACCCTGGGCACAGTAACAAGTTTAATTACCTTTTATCTGGCTGGTGTCTGCCACAGGCAGATTACTCAGAACTGTGTGGGTAACCTGCAAAACAGAGGATGGATGTGTCTCCAAGGCACATGTTTTGTTGCTTGTGAAGGTAACATAAATTCTACAGACATGCTGACCCCTCAGTGTAGAGCCATTTCAGAGTACACACAAGCTGCATTCATTTAATGGGCTGTTATTTAGCTACAGCTGGGAAGAGTATGAGAAAACTAGGGGAGGATATGTAAGTGACTGTGGCTTGCAAGTTAGTGAGGGTTGTATGGATCCCTCAGCAGGAACAAAAGAAAAAAATGCAAGAGTTTTATAGGAAAATGGCATTACCAGTTTTGTCAGTGAGAGAAACTAGGAAGAGAACTGTGTTACTGCAATATATCTGTTGTTTTTATGCTCAGTAGACAAACCTGTCTAACTGTTAGACTTTCTTCTTTTAAAGGCTCATACCTAATTCCTTCTTCTACAATTGAACCAACAAGTTGTGCAAACCTAGGAAGCCTTTGTCAAGGTAAGGAAATCAGGTTATTTTCAGTTTCATTTTTCTACATTTTAATTTTCTTAGTTTTTTTTTTTTATTTTGTTTCTTCTTTTTTAGTTTATTTATTTCTGAAAGACTGAACTGCAATGAGTAGTTGTAAAGAAAGGAATTCTTTAGTCACATCAAATTTGTGGATGTCTTGTATCCAATGGGTGGAGAAAATATTATTACTCTCTTGACACTAAGTTTTTCAAATGGTCATTATTATATCAAAACTGATTTAATTGACTGCTTTCATTCTCTCTCCAGCTCTTTTTCTCCTGCATATTTTAACAGTAAAATGTAAAACAGGATAGGGAATAGGTACATCTTTAGATTTAAAAAAAAATTCTAGATGAACAAAGCATCTGATTATTATTAAGGTTTTTCCAGTATTTCCAGTAGGTTATTTTGATGATAAATACTTTGAGATTAGAAGAAAAAAAAAAAAATCTAACCTCACACTTGAAAATGCAGCATCAAGTGTTAATAAAACACTAGTTACAACACTTAGTAATGATTTAATAGTGTCAAAATCACCGCATATAAAAATTCATTAGGTCTCTTGGAGGATCAGCTCAATTGAATGCAAGGAAGAGACAAACCGTAAAAATGTTCATGCTCTTTGAATTATTGCATATGCAGGTACAGTCAGTTCTCTCTACTTTTTAAATTTTTTTTCTTTAATGCTTAGAGGCTGCAGGTGAATAAAAATGACCTACATGAACAAGATCAGCCCATTTCCACAATACATTCCTAAACACAGGCCTGCAAGTGAAGTGATATGTGAGATTTTAAAAAATAACGTCAATCTCTGTAATCTTTTTCAAGCTGAGTGTTGAAAGATAGAGACAGCAGAGAACATACAAAAGGGGGAGGAAGACTTGGAGCATTTTCTATGCAAGTAAACCAGATTTAATTTAAAGTTAGAAAGGAAAATGCACTCCTTTTGGGAAGCCAGTAAGAGATCTGTGATTGTCTCCAGTGTCTTCTCTCAGGTATTTCCAAGGTAGATTCTGCTCAGAGTCTTGGATCATATGGAGGTCCCCATAGGGAAAGTGAAATGCCATGCCAGTTGTGTCCATAATCAGTTTTCAAAGAGCAATTTTCATGCATCTGTGTCTCAAAGCACAGTAAGTTACAAAAACTGGTACCCAAATATCTTATGTAAATGGGACAGCATCTTTTATTCACTGGTATTCTTTTTCTATCAAAAAGTTAATACAGCCACTGTTAATATATGTTTCTCTTGAAAGAACTCTGAAAGACTTCTTCTACTAAAATGGCATGACATAAACACACTTTCAGACAAAAACATTATGTTTTCCTAAAAACTTAATAAAGCCTCAACTTTATTAACGTGTTAGGCAGAAGATACTACTTCTAACAAAAGAGGTTCCCTTCCCAGCTTCCCTCCCTTACAGTCTTAGACTTAACAAACTTTATGAGTACTTTTCACCAGAGTAATACTTTCCTGCTCTGAAAAGTGTTTGGTCAAGTGTCACTGGCATTCTCCATTTGCTACTTTGAATGTGGCGAATTGGATTCACGCTGTTCATTATCATCATCGTCATCGTCATCATCACTGTCCTAATAATGAAAAATCATAAAAACATGTCTGTCTGTGTATTTCTTTCAGTGCTGCAAGCTTGTTTTAAGCTGAAAGGCTACTTTGGATTCCTCTTTGGTTTGTTTGTTTGTTCTGTGTTTTGCAATATCACTAGACTGTGTCATATATGGTCTGATGACAAAGCTGTTTTCTTCATTATGCTTAGCAACTATTTTCATTCATTGAAAGATATCACTTTTAACAACCTTGGATGAAAGATAAAATCACTAAGGAGCATTAAAAATTGTTTTTCAGGCAACATAGCCCTGCAGTTGCATAGAAGAGCTTTTTTTATATTATAGATTGTGACTTTATATGCTCACTTTTCCAGCTAGAATCCCCGTTTACTGCAATCTCCCTTCTTTTTCCTCAAGTTTCTTGTTTCACTGAAACCTGAACATGAACCACTTCCTCAGCTGAGACCTGAGGTTATGACTTTCAGACTCAAAATGTTAACTAAAACAACCTAACAAAAATCAGAAATGCAATTTCTTACTTAAAATATGATAAACTAAACTTTCCAAGTTGGTTCTTTCTCAAACTCTGCAAAAGATATGTAATACTGTGAGAGTATACTGCTCAAATCTTCACTCTGTGGAAAGAGTTTTCAGGGAAAGAAGAAATCTGTCAGTGAGAAGATTTACGTTCCAGGGAGCTATTAGAAAAATTATTTTCCAAACTATTTGAAAATTTAGTGGTCTGATCTTTGAAGTGCTTTTTCCTCTAGAGTGTATACCCTCCCAGTCTTCAGTGAGGGAAAATTTCAGTTTTGGCTCCTTACTCTGAATGTGAAAAGTGTTCTAGCTAGTTCTCCTGGGAAACATTTTCCAGTATTGTGTGGGATGACTCCTGTTAGTGTCAGTGGGAACAGTACAACTAAGATCCTACATGAAGCTTTCAAAATATATGTTCCACTCAAATAATTCCAAGTCTGATTTAAATACTCTTCACTATATAGAGCTGAATTGAGTTAATTAGAAACTTATACGGGTGTTTTATTTTCACATTTATTCATGGTCTTCAGTCCCTGAGTAGAAACAACTATTCTTTTCACAAGTAATTATTCCAAGTACACTCATCATTGAGCTGTACGGTCTGTTTTCTGGTCTTTGCACAGCTGTTTGGATCTGATGCTCTCATAAGAGGATTTACAATTTGTGAAAGCAGTACAGGACTTGCAAACCTCCCACTGGCAAAACTCCCACTGAAGTCAGTGAAAGTGAAGACTGCAGGACTCAGTTCATGTCCATTCATCACTTTGTACAGAAGAGAAAATGTTTAACATATATGGCATTGTGCATCAATGGTTTCAGTTTACATTGTCATGCATTGTTCCCGTTTTGTCTTACCTCATTAACATTCATATTTCATTCAAATTCACCTCTTTCTCATCTTTATTACCAGCTACTGTAAATGCTACTACTCCTACACCACCCACTGTCACCACTAACATGCCTGATACTAATAGAACCGATAAGCCAAACAATGGTAAGAAATCCTGTGTTACATTTTACCTTGTACTGTCTCTAGAGAAAATTTATTGTATTTTAAGATGTGTTTTTTCGTAGTGTAATGTCAAGGGTCATGTCTCAATGTATTTCATTTACTCTGAATTAAATTGGAGTAATTTTATTAGGCTTGCCCTTGTAAGAATGGTATGAGAACAGAACCAAATTCAGTGTTTATTTGTATCATGTTTACCTTGTTCTTTTGTGCTGCCCATTGAATTTACCCAGGCAAAGAATAAGGGATGGGAGAATTATTTTTAAAAAGGAACTGTAAAAAATTCTGCTTTTGAAATGCTTTAATGCTGTGGATAATCAGACATTGAGTGGCTAATGCTGCCAGGGTGGTAGTATGCTGGGACTCTCTATTCCTCACTGGTAACACAGGGAAGCCAAGTGGAATCATTCCTATGGAGCAAAGCCACTTCCACTGAGTCAATAGGAATCTTTCCACTGACTTCAAGAGCTGGATCAGACTCTACTAGGGAAAATGTTGACAGTATCAGATATCCTTTACTTTTCATTTAGCAAGATTAAGGGGAGAAAGTCAGATAGTAAATGATTCTATTATTAGTACAGGAAAAAAGCAAGGATGTCTTTTGAGGTTTTCTCAAGTTGATGATATCATTGTCTCCTACAGACTGAGCATCGTTTTCTGAGAAGTTTCTAAAGTTGTTCTGCTAAAGAAAGTTGTTAAACATTAATAAGAATACAGAAATAGTCTTCTGCAGCTCTCATATGAGGCTCATAGATCTTTTTACTAAAGATTTTTTGTGCTCCCCAGAAGTAAATCAGTATCTGGTTTTGGCTGGGGATGGAGGAAGTGCTTTTTTGTTTGCTTGGGGTTTTTGGGGGTATTTTTTTTTATTTTTTTTTTATTTTTTTCCCCAAATGTGTCAGTTGTTACTGTAGGATTTAGCATTCTTGGAGTGCTTCTCCTTTTGGCAAATCATTTCTTGCATATTGGCAATCAGGCAGTATAGTAGACACTGTGAAAGAATTTATCTGAACTCATTCTGTTTGGATTTAGTAAGCAGTAGAAGTAAAAAAGAAAATCTTGAAACTTACTTACAAAGTGTGCTTTTTTTTTCTTTTGTGAAACCACTCACTCCATGTTCACCATGAACATTCAACTTTGATTTTCCCAGACACAGAAGGAGCTGAACACCCTGATAATGTTAGTGTGTATAAAAACTAGACAAGTTGCCCTTTATTTGATTTTGAAATTTGATTTGATTGCTATCAAGAGAAAGCAGAAAATCTGAGAATAGTAGGCCAAATTTATTTGCAGTAGAAGCAAGTTAAACTTTCATTCAGCTAACTGGTATAATTCCTGGTGGTAAGTTGGTTTATTGCCCTAGAACAGACAACTGAGAACAGAAAGTTTCACATATTTTCTTTAATCCGCTAACTATGTGGCTTACTACACAGACCTGCAGGAAATCAGACTTCCTGCTACAGTTATCTTCAGAATGAAGAGAAATTCACCCGAATCCTTCCATTCACGACCAAAAAGGCAGCAAGAGTCTAGGATAGAAGGGGTCAAAACCATAGGAATTATCTCAACCCCAATTATTTGGCCAGTGAAACAAAGGCCTCCCCGTTTCAGTGAAAATTCAGCAGATGAGAATCTGGAGAGAAAGAACACATACAGCTTATTTCATTCAACTGTGTCTACATCATCTGCCTCTGAGGAGACCAGCATTGGTACCTTGGCTTCTTTTACAGAAAATATTGACCTAGATAATACTGTGATGAATCAGTTACCAAATGAAAATATTCTGAATGATTCTAGAATTTCATCTGATGGCACTTATGATGCAGCAGATGATGTTGCAGATCATTCTGTGGATGCAGCATTTCCTCTTCAAAACAGAAGTCTCACTGCAGAGGAAGCACAGACTCTGGCAGATGGGCTGCGTTATGCTGACTCTGAGTCAGCATTCCATCTTCCCATTAGCAGAAGCACTGCTTATGAACACAGAGAAGAAGCCCCGTGGATTTCATCCTCCAGTAACAACACACTCAATTTCATGCATATAAATGATGTCTTGAAGCCTGAAAGTTGGAATGAGACTGTATTTCATCATCATATCACCTCTGACATTAAAGAAGAGAAGTATCATTCTCTTTCTAGCTTACCTATATCACCTATGAAGGAGAAGCCATTGTTGCAAAGAAGTAGACTGGATTTGCTTGATTTTGAGCCTCAGAATGTTTATCTAGAAATGATAGAAGGCAACACTAATAAGAAATATTTTTCCATTTTAGCAGCTAACAGTGAATTTCCATTTACATCTGAGTACATTAAGGAGCATTACTCAGGAGGCTTTACAAGATCAACCTCTGTGGACATGCCACATACAAACCCAACAACTTCTTCTAACATGAAAAAAACGTATACAGAAATTATGCCTGATAGCCAGCTGACAAATTCTGTGACAGTGTACAGTAGAGAACAACTTATGTCAGCACTTCCAGTAGGAACAATCTGGACTAACTCAGCATTTAAGCATGCTGTAGCAACACTGCCTACATATCAGCAATCATTGATGGACGTGTCTTTGGAAAGTGACAGCATATTTATGTCTAATACTGATTACTGGTCTAATTATTTAAAACATTCTGCACATATTCAAAAGAAGCCAAGTGAGACCCTCAGAAAGATAGTACTTGAGAACAACTTAGATGCATTCCATAGTAAAAGTGAAGAGTCAGGTTTTTCTATATTAGAACCTGAGAATATTGGCAGAGTTGGCATCTCCTGGAAGCCAGGTTACTTAATTTTTCCAACAAAATATTTAGATATTTCCCCTTCTTTGACATCAAATTTCTGGACGGTTTCCTATCATTTGAAAGTGTTTTCTGGGGTGTCATCAAAAAATCAGTTAGTCTCATTTAATGAATTGCTTTCTAACCCAACAAAAAGGTTGCCATCCATTAGCTCACCTACTGAGTCGGACAGTATCTCTGAACAAACTTCTACAATTAGGTCGTTAGATCACAGAGCTGAAGAAATAAACTTCTCTAGCCATGCCATGGCTTCAGAAAGGCAAATCTTCAGTTTATTTAATCCAGGCCTTTCAAGGAGAATTTTAGAAAGAAATGACAGGACAATATCACAGTTGCAGTCAACAGTGAACTTTGCAAATCTAACTGTATCTTCCAGTGATGAGTTATATTTTGATTTTCTTTTCCCTTCTCTTGAAGCACCTGTGCACCAGTCTGTGCAGATAAGTCCCTTTGACAAGACGCTTGCAAACTCTACGGAAAAATTAATGTTTTATCATAGTTTAAGTATGCAAGGTGGAACTGATGTAATAGGAAATAGAACCAATGTGACGGTCCAAAACAACAGGCAGCAGCTTGCTTCTGTCCTTATAACACATTCAGGAATCCAGCCTTCGTGTTTAAAGGACGGCCAAACTGTTTGCTCGGTCAATACACCTGTTAATGATTTGGTAAACAGTACAAGAACACGTGTATTATGGCAGTTTGAAAGTGCTTTGGAGAATGATACTATTACAAATACTGGTGATAATGCAAGAAGCGAAGTTCAGGTAGATGCAGGGTTTTTTATAAAAAATAACAGTTCTGACTTATTCGTAACGACATTGTCTTTGGAATTGAAGCAGCCTCCTCATTCAGACTCAAAATTCAGAATCACTGTACCTCCCAACAGCTACTCTACACCTCCACTCCCACAGAATCTTCAGAACCACCTTGATATAATTTCTCCAAGCCTGACCCCTGCGTGGGATGTAGCGGAATTAAACTTGCCTACAACAGAAATAGCAAGAAGTCTTATAACAGTCTTAGATGGAAAAAACTCCAACGAAAATCAAGAGGACAGTATTAGATACTCTCCAAGGGCAGGAGAACAAGAAATCATTAGTGTTAATAGCGAAAAAAAGAATTCTACTATTCTGACATCAACTAACAAATCGAGGCTTTCAGATCAGAATTTGGAAGGAGAGGTATATGGATCCTTCAGCAAGAACAGAGGAGGAATTTCTTCTCTGAATATTTTTAGCACTTCTGTCTTGGATTTTGAAAATATTGATTATGGACGCTTCTCTTCCCTTCTGATATCAAGAACTTCAGTAATTAATGATGTGATACCTTTGCCATCTTCATATAGTGGAATTACTATTCAGCACAAAGAGCACCACTCTCTAATGACACCTGGAGCAGCAATCCATGACTCTCACATGCATTCCCAAATGCAAATTTCACCTGTAATATACCATCAGTCATCAGTTTTATCATATGTTCATTCCTTAACTAATTCATCATCTGAGACAAGCCACAATACCACCTTTTTCCCACCACTGAATCAACTTACTAGCTGTCCCACAGTCCTTTTGTCTTGTATCTTCCCTGAGTTGGGCTGCCTGTGCCGACAAGAGATCAACTACAGTATGTTATGAAGTTAGATGTAGAATCAGATCATCTTATCTACTATTCAGTTGGTAGATTGAATGTAGAAGTAGCTGAATTTCATTCTTTAGATATAGATTCATTTAACATATAAACATATTTTAAAATAGTATTTTAGTTACACTAGAAGGGAATTTGTAACATCTTGGGGATAGTAAATGTCATTAACATGTAATTTCTAATTTTTGTGTCCTTTTCTATATCAACTCTCATGAGACTGTGAGAATAGTTTGAAAATAGAGATTGATTTGCTATGCATTTTATGCATTTTTATGCCACTTCATTATTTGAATTATTATGAGTGTTTTTCACTTACAGTACCTATATATTTGGGGGTTTGATTTCCTGAAGAAAATATTTCACAAAAGAAACTAACAGAAATGAAACTTGTGGTATTCCATTGATCATTCCATTGTTTGTAGTTGGGGTTGGGTGTGGGTGAACTGTTTTTCCGACTTCTTTTTTTCTCTTTTTTTCCAGATTATCTTTGGCTTCTTTTCATCAATTTTCTGCCCATGAAAATATTTTTTTTTTATTTAGTACTTTGAGATGGGATTTCCACTGTTTAATTTGGAGTGAGAAATTTTTCTTAATTTTCACTATCTGTGACTGCAGTCTCCTGAGAGTGTTATAAAATGTAGATTAGTTCTTTGTTCTTGTTCTTCTTTTGCTTCATTAAAACATTCTTTTATTCACCATCTGGTGTAGATCTTGAAGCTGTTGACTATTGTTTGTAGATACTAAGTTTGATTTTAAAAGTACTTTGCATATTCCTATATTAACTTGATTTCGTCCACATATATAATTATTCAAATGAGACTATAATTATATATAAGGTATATGTGAATTTATAAGAATATACATAATGCACATTTTCTATGTATGTGTATCTATAAGCACATGTAGGAGGTACATTATACATACAAACTGAAATATATGTATATATACAAAATATATACATATAAATAGGATTCTGTCTTAATTTGAAGTGTTTTCAATTTCCCAAAGGTCCAAAATCAAGACTTTTTTTTTTTCTTTTACTGTCACAGTAATAATAACAATGGATACAGCATTTTCCAATTGAAGTACACACTAAATTTGAATGTTTGCTGATTTAAGGGAGGAAAAAAATAGGCAATCAATTGAAAAACAGGCAAATTCATATCTCTTACCAAAAAAGGTAACTGGCAAACCGTCTTCCTGTATGAAAGTCATTATTTGCCACTTTATCTCAGGGAATTTTCATACTTATCTTGCTGAAAATATGATCAGTCCCTTATGAAGAGACAGAGCAAGGTTCATGAATGGAAAGAAATAGCAACCAATATTACAATTAAATTGGAAAATTGTAAGATACTTCAGATAATTTTATTTTAAGTTCTTGTAAAATGATTATCTATGAAGCTGTAAAATGATGAAATTTCCTCCATATGTATAAAACTAGAACAAATGGTCATTTGTTTAATATTCTGACATAGAAAAAGTATTTGCTTTCCAGCCAAGAGATAGTAAGAGATTATTTCACTGTAATTGTCTTCAGATCCTGGTTCTGTGTAGTGCCTCTGTAATAGTTGCACAAGATTTCTTTAAAAATATGTTTAAAAATTATGAGACATAAAAATATGTCTGTGATCAAGAGCCACAACCTCATTTGGTAATAGCCCTAAATAGTAATACTCAGTAATGCCACATGGGTACATGCATGTGAATAAATTGATGCAGAAGTTCTCAACCCCCTACATGCATCTTGGGCCAATTTCTTCATCAAGAGTGGATAGAATTTTTAGTAGCTTAATGATAATTTTGTTGTCATAAGTAAAATTGATTAACAGAGAGCAAAACCATAAGAAGATGTAATGTTTATTTGATTCAATTTTTATGATAAAATGTTGTCTACCAGCTCATGAGCTTAAAGAGAATTTATATTTACCTGGTATCAGTTTAAAACAACTTTAATGAATATGAGACTTCTCTAAGCCATATGTTGCACATTTTCAGGTTGAAAGATGGTTTGTTCAGCTGCCAGTTTTAATAAAGCTAACATGAGTTCTTCTATTGTTCGGACATTACTAGACCTGAGAGCAAAGCATGTGCTGAGAAAATAAGAATTGGAGTGCTTCTCTCTCCTAGTTCTGTTCCCAATCATCTTGTGACTTTTAATTGATGAGCTTTGTCCGCTCTCATAATTTTTTTGGTCAAATTTGTAGTGGTTGTTTCTGGATTATAAAAATATGACTGAGCACAAAAATTTTCTATGTTACAGATTTCAGTAATTCTGTTTATTTTAAAATTCCTGATGCTTCCATGATCTTGCTCCAAAAAAAGGCATATGCAGAATACTATTTATAGATGCATTAGTTCTGAGTTTCCATGTCATATTTCAAGTGTCTCTATCAGTATGGAGAGGGAGGGAATTCCTGTTGAAATTGATAGGACTATTGAGAATGGTAACAAGCAAGCCTGCAGGGCTTGCTCATCCCCGGCTCATACACTATCAACAAGAGCTTGAGGAATCCTTGTACATGGGATTCAGCCCAATTTTCATATTCATCATGACACTAGAGTCTCATATTATTGAAAAAGCAAATTTGCTCACTTTCTAATGTTATTGCTGTTTTTACTGGACAGGTGGACTATTCTACAGGATATCTATAACTGTCTTTAGTTACAACTCCAACTCAGAATCAAAAGTACATGATGTGGTTGCAGAATGGGTAAGTGAAGTTTTCTTTCTTACTTTATGCAGTAATTAATTTGGGTCTAGTTTGGGAGTTTAGAACTATGGATAAAATTCCGAAATGTTTCCACTATACCAGCCAGCATCTTAAGGACAGGAGATACTAGCTGAAATTTTGGAAAGTATGTGGAAATCAAAGTTGTCCACTGAACAATGTAGATTTAAAAGTTCCTGTGTCAGTACACGAATTCTATCTTCGAATACTAATGTGGTTTTGAAGTTACACTGTGACAGAATAATAAAATGATTTGAGTTGAAAGGGACCTTTAAGATCATCTAGTTCCAACCCCCTTGCTGTAGGCAGGGACACCTCCCACTAGACCAGGTTGCTAAAAGCCCCACCCAGCCTGTCCGTGAATGCCTCCAGAGTAGGGACAACTACAGCCTCTCCAGGCAACCTGTTTCAGCATCTCATCATCCTCACAACACAGAATTTCTCTCTAATATCTAGTCTAAATCTACCTCTTCCAGTTCAAAGCCATTTCCCTTTGCCTTGTTCCTACAAGGCGTTATGAAAAGCCTCTCTCCCCCCCCCATCTATCATCGTCATCACCCCCTCTACCCCCCCCCAGCTTTTCTGCAGGCCTCCTTCAAGTACTGGAAGAGCCTTCTCTTCTCTAGGCTGAAAAACACACAACCTGTCCCCATAGTCCTTGAGTCCTCTGATCATGTTCACAGCCTTCTCTGGACCTGCTCCAACAGCTTAATGTCCTTCCTCTGTTGGGAGCCCCAGAGTTGGATGCAGTACTCTATGTAGGGTCTCATGAGAGCAGAGTAGAAGGGCAGAATTACTTCCCTTGACAGCTGGCAACTCTTCTCTTGGTGCAACCCAAGCTGTAGTTGGCCTTCTGGGTTGCAAGCATACATTGCCGGATCATGTTCAGTCTTTCATCAACCAACCTGACCAAATCCTTCTCCTTGGGGCTACTCTCAAGCCATTCTCCACCCAGCCTATATCTGTGCTCAGGTTTACCCAAACCCAGGTGCAGAACCTTGATAGACATAACAATAAACATGCAGTGTTTATTTGTGTGATGCAGTAAACTTTTCCGATTCACTACAGTATTGTCTGCTTTAGATGTTTTCTCCCATAGGTCAGCTGTTGGGATTTCTAGTAGTTTTAGATTTTCAGCCCATTTTAGCAGAAATAAGCTCCTTATAAGGCCCTCAAAATGAAGGATTATTGAAGTTTCTACATCTGAAAATTCGTTGTCTGAATAGAGATATTCTCTGTTCTTTTTTGACAATTCACATAATGACATACATTCTGCAAACTGTCTACCAACTATTTACATGAAAATGTGATGCCATAAGTATATGGTATTTAGTATTTATTTTTCTTTAATAAACCTGGAGGATTTCAGCTTTCAGAAGCTAGAGAAGAGAAATCATTTATAATGCTCTATAAACCGTAGATGCAGTCATCCACACCAGCTAAAGTTGTTCGCTTAGCAGCAGTAGCCAAGTGAAGTATGTTGGTGCCTTATCCAGAGAATCTATAAAGGTGTCACTTGGCTCTGGCAGAAGATGCAAGCAGTTCTCCAGAGGGGAAAACTGAGCAGCCATTGCCAACTGTGAATAAGCTGTAGAAAAGTCTGAAATAGGGGTTATCGTAAGGCAGTTGATTTTTATTTAGGTGAATACTGACCCTGTATTTTTGTCAGTGAATCTTTTCTAATTACAGTGCTTCTGAGAATTTAAGATGACAGAGAGGGAGTAAAGTTCCACATCCTGTGCACTCACCTGTTCACTGTCATGACCTCATAGAGATTTCCTTCTCTCAGTAAAAGAAATGAATACATTTTTCACTACCAATTGTACATACAATTTAACAATCACCAGGAGTGTGTTCTTTTTGCTTTGAAAAATTGAAGGGAATTTCCTGGGGGAAAGAGAGGTGGAGTTCTGTTTTAAATGACAAAATGCTCTACTGCAAATGTGCCATTTCTGTGATCAATGCTTTCCTATTTTTCAGCTAAACCATACTTTCCAGAACTGGAATTACACTGTGTATGTGGTCAATATCAGGTAAATGAAGGGAGAAGATATTTATGCCACACTCCTTTTAGAGGATTAACCTACTCTAATTAATGTTTATTTTCTTCATAGCATCCAACCTGGTACCATAAAAGAGGCAGTGAGAGAAAAAAGAAGCATTGATAGTAAACGGTAATGACTTTATAGAACTTTTATTAACAGAATCAACAGCTGGTATTACAAATAGTATGACTTTATTGCTTATTATTAGCTTATTAGAGCTGCTGCTAGTCTGTAAATATATAACTGCTGGGGACCTGAATTCTCTGAGTGTACTCACAAATCTAATACTGATTATCATGTTTGTTTAGATTTAAACCCACTGATCTTCTTTCAACTCTAACAGATCATCTTTCAGAGTTCAGGTTTCATTCACCAGAAAACTGAATACCATCATAGATGTATCTGTAGTATGGCAGGATGCACTTCCTTCAGCAGCAAGCTCTGGTGCACGGTATCTGTCCATTGGCATCGCATTTATTTGAACCAGAGCCTTTTGAGTTAATACACATCTTACTAGATGCAAAACACTGAAAAATCATGCTAGAGTTGAAAGCCAAACTAGTATGCGTTAAACTATTTACCATATGCTCTCATTTCCTGACTTCTGCTGGTCTCTGAGGCACTAGCATTAGGATGGCCTCAAAGGCAGCCAGTTAGATCGGTCACACCTCCTGAAAACTGGGCCTCAGGGGATTTCTTTGAAAGCAGCACACTGATTTCTGAGGGACAGATGGGCAGGGAGTGACTCTTAGCACCAAATTAAAGAGAGGAAACCAAAACATAATTAGTCTTGGGAGGGAGGGGGAAGACGTGTATATGGGACATATCATTTTGCAGCATAGGCAAAAGTCCTGCATAATCTTCAGCTGCTAACCCTAGAGAACTGCAGTGGTAAATTTGAGCTTTTTAAGTTCAGAGACAGTCCAATATTTCCAGTTTACCATCAGGAAGTAGTTACCAGTGCTTACAGTTTTCTGTAGTATTTACCTACACTTTAAAGGATTTATAAATGGTACTATCTCCTTCCCACATACCCACAGCAGAAAGGCAGCTCTTATTGGCAAAAAATATTTAGCTTGTATAGTATAAACCTAGACTCTGAAAGGGCTATTCTGCTCCCTGAACTACATTTATGGTAGGGTATAGTCATGTGGTTGTGGGTTTTTTTTCACACTTTCAAATGATACAGTTGTGCCAGCAAAACCTTTGAAGTTCAGACCATGTGTAAGGTCTCACGAACAATCCCAGGCTGCAGGAGAATGCAGAGCTTTTCCCAACCTTATTGCTGAGTGTTTTATGAGATCTGCAGTCCATATTGTCAGCATCTGTTCTATTGCAGACTGAACATCTGGTTTCTTCTCATGGCACCACACCATCACTCAGTCCTTGGGATTTTGTTTCTTTTTCCTGATCTATTAAAAAAGCTGTTTAAGAGGGAGAGATTACTCCAGCACATTCAAACATGAAAAATGTGTCAGTTCCCTGTCTGACAGTGTATGCCTCTTGTACATATGTCTGTCTGTCTGTCAATATTTATGACTATATATGGTTCTATGGCCACAAACCAGAGCCATGCAGTTTACTGCATTTTCTTTAACAAGGTGTTCTCCATGATTGCCCTACTGCACTGTGGTTACAGCACTAGACTACTTCTATATACTATTATATGTCACTGTTATCTGGGATAACCCTAGGCCTGTCTACTTCGCTCACCATCTGTGAGCCATAAAGTGCCATAAATACATGTTATAAATTCAGAGACAATTGTGTTATGTGTTATTAATATGTCATAAAGTATTTCAAGGATGGCCTGGGCTAATGAGAAAATCCAGATAGCAAATTCCTTTTTTTATTCTGTTTACTTCCTCCAGAACATTGGTTTCATCATGCTTTGTTAAGTTTTCAACTTTCTGGAGTTTGTCCTAGTTAAGATTCTTAGCAAAACCTACAACACATCATAGCAACAATTTGGAGAATAATAAATTAGCAGGTTGCAGGTTTAAAGTTTTTAATCCACAGTGGAAGTAATATTTTTTTCTTACTGGCATCCTAACTAGTCTAACTAGATCTACTAAAATGCTGAAGCTGAGTTCTTGTATGTAACTTATTCTGAATGTAATTTTTGATAGTTTCTATGAAACATTCCTAGAAATTGTTTCTATGAATATTTGCCCAACATTTTTCTTATTTCTGCTGAAGTAAGAATAAATTCCTCACACACACTCCAGTTTTTCCCTTAATTTTGAAGTACTACTTACTCTATTTTTCATCATCTTCATCTGAATATAATTTCATTCCACAGGTAAAACTTTAGACACAACCCAGAACTGTTATGATCTTTACATTTTACAGAAGTAATCACACTAGTCCAACTCACTAAACTTTCTCATCTCTGAATTTTGCACAAGACCATAGTTTTCGTCCTTGTAGGGCACTAGCACAATTATTTAAACTGCTGTTGGAGAAGTTTTCCCTCTTTACATTAATTCAAATTCTCATAATTCATATATTTTCCCCTTACCTTTTGGATTAGTATTTAATACAACAGTTAAAAAACAACAACTCAGCAGTAAACTTGACCAGACTTTTCTATCAGTTTTCATTGTTTCAACCCTTATTTGCTTAACTTGCTGTCTTATCAACAAATTGCTCTTATTAATCACCTCACCTAGTCTTCTTGCAAATGAAAGAGGAAGAATCATTAAAGATTTGAACAATAAATAGAAGCTGCTAGAGGGAGATAGGAAGCTGGCTTTTATTTTTGGCAAGTTAAAAACATGTATTTTCCAAATAAATATTATGAACTGTACTGCATTCTGGAGAAGAGCAAAACAAAACAAAAATATGGAAATGGACTGTTATTCTTTCATTGCTGAGTTCTATGAGCTGCAGAAATTCAAAGGACAGTGTGCTTAGTAAATGTTATCATGGATGTTGGTGAGAGACAAACAGAGTGCCAAGTCCAAAAAATGCACAATATTATCAGAACCTTTAAAACCATAAGATCTTTAGATGACAGCAGTGTATCACTCTAACACTTTGTTAGATTATTAACTACATTAATAGGCAAAATTTTGTCACATCTGTACTTCTGTTTATGTCTTTGTTTTCTTCTCATCATAGTGCTGCCATTTCTTAAAGAGAGGGCAGCTCTTCAAAATAAAGCAGAAAGATATAAATGGGATATGAGCATAACTGTTTATCCCCTGTAACTTTGCACAAACCTTTGAAAGTGATGCCAATTTGTGTTTGTTATGTAGATAAATTATGAATGTGTTTGTTTCTCTCATTAATCCTTCGCCTTTTATGATGTCATACTCTTCCGTGGCTGCTGCTGCTTTTCTCAGATGGATCCTGCTTATCCTAGGTGTAGTCAGCTGGCTAATAATTGGGCTACCTCAGCAGGATAATTGATATTCACTAAGCATCTCAGCTTCCCTGCTTCTCCTTTCATTTTTCAATCAGTTTTGAGAACTGAAGCCTGAACACATTTATAAACTTTTCTCTATTTGATCTGCAAAGTGTGTTTTCTGAAGCTTCCACTGCTCAATTGTCATAACTTTGCCCTATTTCCTGCTTTTATTTTCTGTGTGAAAAAATGCTAAGGTTAGTACTATTAAACAACTCGTCCAAATTAAAAACCGCAGTGCTTGCAATCTGTTTAAAGACCACTAAACTTAAAAAGAAATCTATTCTCTTAGAAATGAAAATAAAGAGGAAAGCAGGAAATGTGAGATGCCTGAGCGTAGTCCTGCCTCTTTGAAGTCTGTGGGAGTTTTGCCACCAGTGTCAGTAAGGCAGATTCAGGATCCTGCATGCTGTGTTCCTGGCTGCCGTGTTGCTTAATGGAAAGTTGAACACACTTAGATAAAGTTTAAGCTAATTAGATTGTATAATAGTTTTAGACAAGTGTTAGCAACATCAGAGCAACATAGTTTTGCTACAAGGATCTTTACTGAGTAAGGTTAAATAAACAAAATATTAGGCTTTTGCATTTTTTGTAATTATTCCGGATTATTCATCATGAAATAATAATGTTATTCTAAATGAACACATCTGTGATGCCTATTCTTATTTGTAAGTCTTCCTGGTTTGTGCAGGTGAAATTTTAGGAACAACTTGAAACTGGTCCGCTCCTGCTTCCTTTGATCTTAACTTTGTAGTTACCATCTGAACTCACGTTTCTGCATAGTGTCCTACTGTCACCTTTTGTCAGTGACCTGTAAAGTAAGCCTTCTTAACAAATAGAGGAATTCAGGAATTCCACCAGAGTGACTGAGGAATGATTCCTCCTTTGTCTCTTGCCGAAAATGTTTCATTTTGATCCAGCTTCCACTGACTTCCATCATCTTTCCACTGACTTTAACTGGGTTTCTTACAGGCCTGCATTGTCAGATGTCATTTTTCAGGAAAGTACTGGATTGCAATTTTCAGGGTGAATAGGGATTTCCTTTGTTGTTCTGGAGGATATTTCAAGCATAATCAAATACTCATTTCAGCCAAGACTAACTGCAGAACCAAGAGGTATTCCATCCCTCTCTCTTTGTCTTTCTGCTTACATTCCCTTGTAAAGAGAGGTCTTCATACCAAATCTTCTCATATTTTAAATTCTGAACTTTTTAATGCTATCACCTCAAGTGAAGATTTGTTGACAATTAAGATGGTTTTGCAGAGTACTTCTAACTGCCCTATACTGCACTATAGTTTTTTGGTTGCAGAACTGAGCTCAATATTCCTGATAAGAAAGATCTTTCAAATTCCGTTATGGACTTCATTAGCAGACTTCTCAAATTTCTTTCTCTCTCATTCTGCATGTTTTCTAGCATCTTGTCTACTGTCTGTATTACTGAGTCTTCACTGACTAGCCTATGCCAGTCAACTTTCTTTTCTAGTTGTCTAGTTAATACTCAGGAGTTGGCAGTATTTAGAAGCGGAGCCTACATATGTACTCCCACTCTTGAATTTTATCTATTCATCACTACTTATCTTCAAAGCCAGAATAACAGCAAGATTTTTAAGGAATTTAATGTTGATATCTTATTTTTTTTTCTCAAATATGATTGGGTATTTGAGAAAAATTCCACTGTCAGTGGTAGTTCAGATTTACTGAGTACTGAAGTGGTTTAAAATTTTTTTTTTTTTTTTTTACACTTTAAATCAAAGAGCATTAACAGCAAAAGAAATTAATAGTGATTTGTTTGAATGGTTTGAGAGCCACAGTTATTTCATTCTGTCTGGTGGACCTAAATGAGAGAACAGACACGCGCTGCTGATTACCAGCAGGTACACCACTGCCTGTGCTGTGCGGCTCACATGGTTAGTCGCTAATCCTCACTCCGGGTTCCTTGCACGATGCAGCAGTGAGAGCTCAGCCCATGTGTAGGCACACTGTCCTGGAACAGCTCTGAGTCACCCTGCCCGAGAATAAAGCTGCCTTTGTATTCAGCGCCACGGCAGCACAAGTCCCATCCTTACCATCCCCATGACCCAGTGCAGCTTGCAGTGCCTGCAGCCTCCCCTCTGCTGAGCTCAGCAGGCCAAGGCAAAGAGGGACAGCCAGTGATCTTCCTGGCTCTCCTGCTTATTCCAGCTGACACCCAAAGACAAGAGAGACAGAAAAAAAGGAACCTTATTCTGTTTACCCACACCAGAGCCAACTTTTTTTTATATTGACAGCAGTAATGCTACAAATTACTGCGGGTGATGTAATTTCTAATAGATTGCTTCTGCAAGAATCCACCTGCATTTATATGGCACTCAATAAAGAACATAAGGTTGGCTGTGTAAGATCCCACGGTACCAGCACAGCATGGCACTATTGCATGTATTGCCATTTATTTGAGTTTGGATCTGTTGTTTCACAAATTGAGGATTTTTTTCTTCTCTATTAAAATGTTTTCTTTCTGGGCTCCAAGTGTGATAAAAGTGGAAGGAAGCACTCAGCTTCATATTGCATCAGCTGTCAAGTTAGTAGGTATTTACGTACTTTGGGAAGCTAGCATGAGTCATTCTGAAAAGTTTATAGAATTTGTTTTCATCATAATATGGAACAGGCTCTTAATACATAGTATACTTCACTTGTGCTCTACAAGTTTCTCAGAAAACAAATAACAAAACGGTCTAACAGATTATTTTTGTATTTTGTATTATTCCTACCTCATCCATCATTATTCCCATAGCTGTTCAAAATAAATCTAACCAACTCTACCTGATCTATAATTCTGTTTTGTGTATCCTGTGCAGTTACAGGTACTAAATATCATTTTGTTTTGCTGAGAGTACTGCAATAAGCAGCAGAGTAGTAGCAGTGTCTCTTCACTTACTACTTCTGCTTTGCAGCCAAGGGCTGAGGTAGGGAGTGGCATCAGCAATATTAAGTTTTCCTCTTCTGAAGTAAAGGGAATACATGAGTGAAGCCAGAAGCCAGGAAAGATGGATAAGTTCCAGGAGACTGTGGGGCTGAAGCATTGGAGGGCTCTAAGTATTGGCAATCCTGTAGGCAATTTCCATGCTCTGCTAAAAATAAATGCCATTATAAACAGGTGCCTCATAATATATCCGACATGTACAGCAAAAGTCTGCACATTCATCCTGCTGAGTCTATTGCCATGTGTTAACCACTTTGTCAAGTCCAAAGGAATGTTAGGAGGAATTTCATATACCTAGGAGCAGGTCAAGTGTGGCCTGGCTAGAAATAGCTGGAATTTCTCTGATGAAACACATTGCAAGGAAAAACAAACAAACAAACAAAAAACAAAAAACAAAAAACAAAAACAAAACAAAACAAAACAAAAAAAGCAAGCCAAGCCAGCAGGTAACCTGTACCACATTTTTATCTCATTCTTCAGCAGTGTGTTAAAACTGCAGATATAAGAAAGAAAAAAAGAGTACAGATGCTCAAAAGAAAACAAAGCAAACAACAAGTAACATGTGTAATTCTTTTCTTAGGGGTCAAATAGTGAAATGTGTGGAGTATTTAGCTTATATTCATGACTCTTGAAGGCTTTATGAGTCTTGGGCTTTGCTTTTCTTACTTTTTTCCCCTAGAAGGATAAGTTTTTTATTTCTAATGCCAGTTTTAATACCATTTCAATAATGAGATTTTTTTCAGAAGTATCTGTTGGAGTTAAGCAGTTTTCAACATGAGTTCTGGCAGAAAGATAGTTAAGTCTGTCATCACACAGCAACATTCGTACAGTAAACCAATTTTGTACTGTACCACACTAGGCACCTCCAGAAAGAACAGCTCTGGGATGTCATTTGGAGGCAGATTTTTGGCATCAGTCTATCTAAGAGGGGGTTCCAGAAATCTCTCCCGGCCCACTCCTGTACAGCACCCTTGCAGATTTTGTCTTCTATTCTTCAAGAAGCATTCCAGACCCAGCAGCTCACTGCTACTTCCTGGCTTTGGGGTCCCCCCAGTGAAAGACGCTTTGTTTGGTGCTCACTGTATGTGCTGGCAGTGCTGCCACTTCCCAGGCTGCCAGGAACTGATCACACACCAGGAAGGTCTGTCTTAATTCAAGAGTCTGGGTATACAAGGGCAAGGCTAAGATGAAGGCAGCCCAAAGCAGGCTTGATTTTTCTTTTTTTCCACTTTTCTGCTCCCATGAAGATCCAATGTTCCATGCTTCAGTGGCGTCATCTCCCATTAACCGTAGCCAAGCAATGCTCTTGGGTACCAACACATTCTCTTCTCCAACATGGGTTTTCTGTGTCCCAGGAGGAAATCTTTCAGCCTTCCACTCTCAATTTCTTTCCTGTGTCCTGCTAGAACTTCTTTCCCGTTCATTATTTTCTTTCCAGAAAAGCTATGTTTTTGGACAAGGGTGGAGACTGTTTTATTTCTCTCACAGGAAAGAGACTTGGGCACTTTGAACTACTTCTTAAGCCCGAGAAAGTAGCAGTGGGCTGTAGTACAAAACAGCTATTACTGCTCGAACTTGAATTACTCATCTGAGCAACTAGATTTTCCTAATTAGAACTAAAATACACTTCATAGAAATGTATGAGGGTGTTTTTCATTCCATCAAGATTTGAGCATCTGAAAAGTAAGCATCTATTCTTTATTAGTCTTCTAGTCTTATTCAGTAGTCAGTGGAGAGAAAGGCCCTCCAGAGGATGACTTATTCCAGCCTGACAAGTTCTGTAAAGCTTCTAAGCTTTACAGCTTTTAAGTTGCTAAGCCATTAGCAACCAGATTTTTTTGGATTTAATTAGGACCTGTTTAGAAATGGGCATTGGGAACTCACAGTGGAGAATATTTTTTGCTTTCATCTTTTAAAATATCTTGAGGTAATCTAAATCTTCTCAAAATATTTACTGGCTTTATTAGTGAGCTGCTTCTTTAATGGTAACTACAGAATGAAATTTCCCAACCATACATTCTTTTCCTGTTGCTGTATGATTTACAAGTAACAAACAATATTCTTGGCATCTTGGTGATGCTCTTACTGAGAAAACTAGAGTTTGTCAAATATTTTTATTTCCACATCTTTGGGATCTGCTGCTCTGACTCAAACATTTGCATAATTTTCCTTGCAGTTTTGAGGTTCTAGCCCTTCTGGTTTATAATGCTACCAACAACATCAATTTAGAAGAGCAAGACATCCGACAAAAGCTCATAAGTAATAATGAGTCCATAGCAGAGGGATATAGGCTTCATATGGTGGAAGTTGATCCAGTGGGTAAGTAGATTCAGCCTTATTACACAACTGATTTTATTTGAATGTCCAAAAATAAGCATCTCCTATGTTAAAATAATCATACATTTCCAAACAGTATAGCTATCTCAGATTTTGAATTGTCCCTTTTTATTGCTCCATTGATCTCAGAAGGGATATCAAGATATCTCTTTTAAAACAAATAGAGCTGTCAAGGTTGCTTCATTCAGTGTTTGTTTTTTTTTTTTTTGTCTGGTTCAAAGAGGCTAGGACATTTCCTTTTGACTGCTTTGGTTGTTTGAGGATAAAGAAGTATGATATACAGCCAGAGATGTTATGAGACATTTCTGACCACTGAGGACCCTCATATCCTCTCCTCAGCCCGCTTTGTGATTCTATCAACCATTGTCCTTAATCAATCTTCTTCCAGCTATTGTGAATCCCCCAGATTTTTGCATTCATCTTCTAGTGCAAGATTGCTCTTCCTTTGGTAGGGAAAAGGGTGAGGCTGATGGAACTCAAATGGATGCAGTTTGCACATTCAGTGCTTTTCCTTCAGCATCAGTAGCAGTATATTTTGTCCCTTGCTGTACACCCTCCCTTACCACTAGTCTATGGAAAACATTCAAGCATTTCATCTGAAGAGAGCTACATGCTGCAGAATGGATAGTGAGCTTAGTACAGAAATGGAACACAAATGAAGAAATTTGTAATTAACACTAATTGAGATGCTTTTATTTTTACAGAGAAATGTTTAGCTGAAGAAAACCCTCCAAACTATTTTTGGCCAGACACCAGACCAACAGTTACCAACTTTACATTTTGCCATGGGAGTTCAGTTCAGATTGCATCAAGAACCTGGTAGGTGGTTAAAGACCAGAGAAGCTGAGAGCTTCAGTTTTCTGGTTATATAGTTAGACCTTATCATCCACAACAGATGCCACTGAATGATACCATATCTCAGAAGGATGATTTCTATGCTGTGAGAGAACATGTGTGTGCAGTACGAGTACATACTTCATTAATAAGAGAAAAAAGCTTATCTACTACTGCTGTAGGATGTAATACATGATCAAAGTGAAAATAGCACCTTCTTACTGCTTTCTTCAGTTTGTGATGTTAACGTTGCCAAAATCAAATATCTACTACTACTTTACTACCAATCTCAACTTGAGCAAGAAACTTTTTGACAAAAGTTTTGCAAAGATGAGTAGTATATTTATTTAATTCAATCCAGAACTTCTTATCCAGTTAAATGAAGGTAAAATAAATCCTTTGAAACAAGAATGTTATTAGTAATTAGTCGTATGTGAAGGTGGGTAGTCTAATGCTCAAAGATTTGGACTTAAGCTTTTAAAGTTGAGGATAATTTTTCCCTAATATAGCCTTTCTTTGTGAACATCAACCAATTATTTAAACACTGTAGTTCTATTTCCCCTCTTTAAAAAGAGAATATTATGACTTCCTTTGAAATATTACTAGAATAATATGGCTTTGATCTCCTATGAGTTCTTGAATGCAGTATTAATTAATCTCTTCAGTATTTAGGATGATCAACAATCATCCTATTGCAATACAGTAGTCTCATCCACCCACTGCATCTGGAACATGTTCTGAGAAGACTAGATCTTTCACTTTTTATAAACAATATGTCAACATGGGTAGGAATCAGCTTTGAGGTTCTATGCCAAACAGGAAAACAATCAGCATTATTTTTAACTAACTCACTTCCTCAGCCTCATAATCTTATACAAGAACAGCTAGATTCTGATAGACCAACTTTTGTTTTAAAGTAAGTAGCGCATGGGTCAGATTGTTTTTATGTCAGTCTCCGAATCATTAAAAATTAAGCCTTCTGGCCTTTGCTGCCCCAGTATTGCTTATCTTTATTATTCATTCGTGGTATAAACAATAGTGTTGGTTATCTGTCTGCCACACTTCTAAAAAAAGTTACTGTGTTCTGTGTTGCACTGTGTTTTCTATGCCCACATTAGCTTTTACCTATACGGAGCACAGGTATGGTGTGTTTTATTCTGAGGCAAAGAAACCTGTCCCCGTAGTGTTTTCTAGATTTGTGCTTCCAAGCAAACACGGAATAACTTTATTCAAGCATGTACTGAGTGAAAGGCTAAATTTTTCCCTTTCTCAATCCTGTCTTTGTTATACTATGGTATCTCCTGAAAGGAAATCTAGGAAGAAGTGTGCTTAATTTCTGAGCCATATGTGGGAATTTTGCTATGGTAAGGTTTTATAGAAAAACGTTTTGAAAAAGCTTACAGTCTTTTTATGCCTGTCACTCATCTTGAACCTGTATCTGATGGTGACCTTCTGGTTTTCATAGATGGTGTAATATTCTATCTCTGCACAGCCCCTGTTCTTGTTCTTCTGAAGGTATTAACGCTTGCTATTGACCTGATCAAAGCCATTTATATCAAAGAAAAAATACAGAAACAGCATCTGATTAGACTATATTAAATAGGGACATAATAGCTTGTGTCAATTTTGGGGTCTTTTCTGAAATACACATTTTCTGTTAATCAATTTGTCAAGTCAGTATTGCAATCAGCATTAAATTTGTCCAAAGGAACTGCAGTTTTTCTCAACTCTGTCACTCTACAGATCACATATGTCCACTGTCTAGCATACATTTAGTTTCAGTGAGCTAGTATTGCAAGAAAATTTGCGAATCAACAATATTGTATCATTATGACACACGCAAAACAATTATGAAACATCTATATAATTACGCCATTGTATTTCATGTACATTTTGTCATTTTTCCTCTTTAGCTATTTGGGTCTGCAGAATTACACATCATACTGGGGCCAACCAGATCTTAGAAATTGCACAGGTAAGTGTATAGATACTGATTTTTGGCTAAAGTGACAGCTTTGTACATTTTGGTTTCTAACTACTATAAGGAGGAAAGTTACACTAAGGCAGAATGTATTCCTCATTTTTACCATTATTGTTTTGTTTTGTTTTGTTTTGTTTTTTAAAAAGAAAAACACATGGACAAAGTTCTAGGGAAGCGCACCAAATTGAATCCAACCCACCCATTCTGGATATCAGTTAATGAAATAAATCAAATTCTTCAGGTAATTTCATCGAGAACAGAGGCAGGAAGCTTGCGCCAGTTTGATACTCAAGTTTGTACAAATTTTTAAATATTTCCAATGACCATAGATACCAGGGGAAGGAATTCTACTCTTTTCACAGAGCTTATGATCAGGCATTTTCAGATTTATTATCAGTTTGAAAAGTACCCCTTGATATCATTCTGGTGTGTTAAAGGAGTTAAAAAATGAACAGACAAATTTTTTTTTTTTTTTTTTTTTTTTTTGCACTCTATTTTAGTGCCAGAGTTAGTGAAGAGCAGGATATTCTCAAAGTTAACTCAGAGCTACAGCAAGCTGTTCCTTCTGCATTGCTTTCCCATAGAAGACTTTTTATCTTACACCACTGATGGGGATTTCATATGGAGCCTGACCTAATGTAGTGGATTGTGATGAGTACTTATAGTCACACTGTATGAAAACATTTTTTGTTCTGAAATGGACACTCTACAGCAAACATAGCAAAAGCTGCATTATAAAACTCAGCTTTAGAAAAGCCCACAATCACATTCAGACCAAAGAAGGCTGATGTTCTCTTGAAATCTTATTTGTGATTTTTCAGTAAATATAAAATATTTGACATTGTAAAATTTAAGTATTTAGTTTTCTATCCAGATGGCTCAAAGCATTGTTTAACATTCAGTTTATACTAATGCTTTGTCACTAAACAAAATGTCAACCTTTCCTTAATAGGAAGATTCTTCTCATGAAATTTGCTTCTGTGCTGTATTGCCCAGCCCTATCAGTAAGAGTGCATTCACGCAAATGAATTGACAACATTCATGGTGGGGTCAGACTTTCTCCCCAGAGATGAAAAGTGAATTTTTTGTCAGTAGTGGTGACTTTGGGACACATTGATTTTGCTTCAAGGGGGACACAGAAGCAGGTGTTGGGGTTTTTTTTGTTGGTTTTTGTTTGTTTGTTGTTTGTCGCTGTTGTTTTTGTTTTGTTGTTGGTTTTCCCATCTCTTCCCAAAAAAGACAATATCATAAAGAGAAGAAAAAAGAAAATATGGTTTTATTTCTTAATCCCCTTTCTATCAATCAGCCGTTTCAGTAGTTGCTCTGATTTACAAAATCAGATCAAATCAGTGTAAAGCAAGTCACAACCCATGCGGACGGTATATAAGAATTACCAGGTTATATATGCTTTAAATAAAAACACGAATGAGGTAAAATAATACAGTTTCATGTTTATTATAAGTACCACAGAACATGCTCTATATTTTCAGTAATGAGGATAAAAATTTGTATTTTTAAATTGCCTCAAGATTGGTACAGATTATTTACTATTTTTGCTTCAACAGAAAATGCAGCTGATATTGCCAATCAGCTTTTGAATCTCACTGGTGAAGGGCAGCAGCTTACCTCAGACAAAGTAAACGATGTTGTCCAGAAACTCAAAAAAATTGTGAATGATGAAGAAATTGATGAATCTCTGGGTTCTACTGTGGTGACAATTTTTTCCAATATTCTAAACAGTTCAGACAGTGTATTGGCAGCATCATCTTCAGAGTAAGTATTTCTGCATTTGCTTTTAAAAAAATTTAGGAAATTGATTAATTCTTCCCTATAAGTACCATAAAACAAATCATTTTTTTCTGATTCCTGTGAAAAGAAATTCCAAATAAGTTAAGCAGATATTTATTCTTGTAATAAAATTAATGTACATGACAAAATTTTTTAATGGAAAAAAAGACTGTTGATGAATGACACAGCGTACATTAAGGTGTTGTCAGAAGATAATTTCAGGACCAGTGACATGTAAATCAGAAAAATTCTATCTATCAAAACCTTCTGTGTTCAAAAGATACACGTATGTTTACAGCTTGACAGTCTCCTTGTGGATACAAAACTGGGTGACAGAAGCATAAGAGCATTGCCTTAAGGTGAAGAGAATACATGGAGAGCATATAGAGTAGAATAAAATAATTTTATTTCTGTTTTCAGAGCTCTTAAAACTATTGATGCCTTGGCTTTAAAGATCCAGTTCACAGGACCATCCATGAGTATTTCAACACGCAATCTTGCACTTGGAGTGTCTTCTGTAAATTCAACTTCATTCAAAGGTTCTTCTTTCAGTGTCAGTCCACAGAATAATGCATCTGATTTCCAGGTAACATGGGCAGTTGTGTTTGAACATTAAATGTGACTGTTATTCCAAGTTTATTTATTTTTATGAAACTGCTTACAACTCCCTACTTCACCCCCCGCTTTCTATTTCCTTTTTTTCCTGTAATCATCCAAAAAGGTTAGCACAGCATTTACTTGAGTGACAGAAATACCAGATGGACCCCCATATCTTCCATATGGATGAAAAATTATTTGCTTACAAATGCAGAAGAGATCTTATCTTTTCCTCTTCTTTTTTTTTTTTTTTTTTTTTAAACCAATGAAAAGGGAAAATCATATTTAACAGCCTGTTGTGTTACCCATTGTGCACTAACAACTTTATCAATGCATTTCAGGTTTAGCATGAGACAAGTGAATGTAGATATATATATGTGTAGCTTTCTGCAGATTGAGTAGATATTCAACCTTCCTGTACAGTGTAAATACTGCTAACAGGGGCGTAAGGCTGATCCAGTTGTCCACATGAAGGTTGTTAGGCTATTGCTGCCTGGGATGTCCATGAGTGTTCGAGACATTCACACAGATCTTGACCATCATCACGGACGCATGAAAATAAAAGGACACATCCCTCAAAATGCAGAATGATCTCCAGTACTACAATACAGGCTGCTATAGTAATTTGTCATCACTTCAAAAATATTTTTTCATCTTTTTTTTCACAAATGAAAATACACAGCTATGAAATAGCTATGAAATAGCATCTGAGATGCACATTACCTACTGGGATTAAAAAGAAAAAAAACATTAAAAAAAAACAAAAAAACACCAGAACACCAGCAATCTACTATAATTTGGGCCAAAGAACCCAAATCTGAACTCAGACTAAACATAGCACTATGATAATTGTTAAAGAATAATCACTAGAGTGTAAGCATCTAACAGAACAAAATTCATTCATGCAACTAGCCAGATATTAATCTCATCTTTACATAAGCTACTATGTACTTTAAAAGCAAAAAGCAGTAATGAAGGCAGTGTTTAGTAGTACTAGTAGTATAGGCTACTGGTGTTTTATTTGCTCCTTATGTAGACTTTGGAGCAAAACTCAAATGATGATTTAAATAGATGCAAATGGGTTGAATGTAATTGAGTTTCACACATTCATATTCATAGAAATTTCAGCTAAACATTTCTTTGAATCAGTTTTATTAGAAATGTCTGATGATTTTAAATCTACTTTTGTTTAGCTCTCGTATTAATCACAGAATCATAGAATGGCTTGGGCTGGGAGGAACCTGAAAGATCATCTAGTTCTAATCCCCCTGCCATGGCCAGGGTTGCCCATGGCCCCATCTACCTCCAGGGATGGAGCATCCCTGACGTTCAATAGCTGATTGTTCTTTGATTTTTATCAAAGGAATATTTCTTCTCCAGATTTCGTTCTGTATTCATGGAAAGAGGAAAGGAAAAATTCTGAAATTGGGCTTGGAATATTTGCCTGTATAATAAGCCATCTGTGGCTTGAGAACATCCAGGAATTTTCTTGCCCTGGAATAATTTATTAGAGCACTGTCTAAATAATCATAAAATAAAAACTCCGTCAAGTTATTTATAATGTTCCTTTTGGAACACAAGATTGTTCACAGACTTTTACATTTCCAGAATTCTTAGCACCCTTACTACCAGAAAACTCAGCATCTATTGTGGTCACAGCTGCTATTTTCCATGCCTATCAAGAAAGATACTTGCTATCCCTGCTGGAAGAAGATTCTCCTCTGAAAGCACAGGACTTTTACCAGCAGTGTGATGATCTAGGATTGTCAGGGAACCTTAAAGTCTTTAAACTGTATGTCAGAGTGTTTCCAGATTTTCTTTCATATTGTTTCTTGAAGTAGATACCAAGCAAGTGTAACCATAGTAATTTGGAAAGATTCTATTTTAGTCCTTTTTGTCTTTTTGTTTCTTGCCAAACCTTTGACTAAGTTAGGTTATAGTGATTCATATTATTAAATTGTTCCTGTAATATATCCTTGCTTCTTCATAAAAACCTCTTCCACTCCATTTGCAGACAGTACCTAATGGGACATCTTTATTACATGAGTATCTTTTGCTTAATGTGGCAGAATTACACTTTGACAAACTTTCATTCAAGTGAACTGCTTCTTATTAATTTCCATTGTTGCCTGCTAATCACAGTAAATCACTGAAAATTTAGAATTTGAATAAATCTATCAGTTGCCTATGACTTGTAGCCTTCTAATAAATAATGATGTTTTTAGAATCATATGATTAGTCATCAGAGACATAAATATAACTTGGGTCTGAAGAAGTCAGGAGTGTGAATTTCCTTATCTTGCAGTAAAATTCTTGAACACTTTTACAATAGCCAGTATTAGATGAATTACTCCTCTCTTTCTGATGGATAGCCTGGTACACATTGAGTTTGTCATGGTGTAACAGCAGGCAGTCATAGACATACTGACAGATAGGTAATGAAAAACAAGCTTGTATCCTCTTTTATCTTTGCTCACTTATTACATTCATGTGCCATAAAGGACTTTCAGTTGTCTGGCATGTTGCCAATATTGATTATTCTCATGACAAAAAATGTTTTTTTTTATGCTGCATTGCATGATAATTGTAGAATGGTGACACTAACTATTATTTTAATGTCACCTTTCTGTGACATAGTAACTGTAAAAGCTAGTAAGAGAATTAATTCAGATATTTGATCAAACACAAAATTACAACTAAATAAAGAATGATTGGAGTATATTTTTTCTGTTTTCAACATTGTTTTGTGCAAGGAAATATATCTTAATGGTTACTGAAAATTATTAAGACTGCTGTAATTGCCATCTCAGTATTTTCAAATCATTATATCAGTGAAACAGAGCTCTTTCTTTTTTTTTTAAATCTACTGTCTTCCTGTAGCAAAAATTTAATTTCATGCTGTGTGAAAAAGCCTCCACAGCTAACTAAAAAAAAAAAAAAAAAAAATTGAATTGGATCTTGCATAGGTACAGGTAAAATTTATGCTGAAAGTTCTAGTTCAATGTTTTAGATATCTTCATAAAGCATTTGAACACAGTTGTGGACAAAGGATGGCTTGCTTTTTGTTTGAATATGTTCTTTTCTTCTGTTGTTTTTATTTAACAGATAGACTTTGACAAGGATCAGACAAATGCCATTGCTTCTGTCATTCTACCACCAAGTTTACTGAAGAATTTAAGTCAAGATGACATTGAAGTTATATCAAGGGCTCAATTTACTTTCTTCAATAAAAATGGTCTTTTTCAGGTAACCTTCAGTGTGTTTGAAGTAATTTCAGCTAGTGTAAGTCAAAGGCAACTGCTAAACATTTCCCATAGGTATCAAATGGTGATAGCAAACGTAGGCATTAGAGACATTTGAATTCAGTGACAAAATAGCCATCCACACTGAAGTAGTGTGAGCAATTTAATAGCAGTACATTCCTGTGACATTGACGTAAACATTTCTTTCAGAGTAATCCACAGCAAGCTGGATCCCATCTGATTACAGTCAGTGTAAAGTAGTGAGGCCCTTGATAGGGAGTATCTTCTATAGAGGTGCTTTTATACAAGTCACTGGTGTTCAGTGGAGCTGGGTTCTTTTATATCAGTTGGGAATTTGGCCTGTAAATCTGCTGTTATTTCTCTTTACCTTGAAAGAGTTGATTGAAAGTCGTACCCAATGGGCTACTTATATCTACTCTGAAATTCTGGACTGACTACCATTGTACAGAGAACATTTTTTTCTATACATACTATTCTTTTTATGTGCTATCACAAGCAAACTTTATTTTAATGATGTCTGGATCTATTTACAGACAACCTAGTCACAGAATAAGGATAACTATATATTGGTACCTGAAAACAAAAGGGACCCAGATTGATGTCTTTCTCTTCTCCTTTGTGTCCATGCACATATTGATCATAAATATTTCCTGCATGTTTAATGCAAAAAAATAAAAAATAAAAAAAAATACATAAATGAAAGAAAAGTAGAATTAGAAAGAGTTTTACAGCTTGGAAAAAAAGAAAAAAAAAAAGAAAAAAAAAGAAAAGAAAAAGAAAAAAAAAGAAAAAAAGGGCTTAATTAATATGGAAATATTTTATAGTAAACTGCAAGCTCAGAAGATAACTCAGAAGGCTTTAGTTTGTTTTCCCATTACTATTTTAAGTGACCTTCGACTCTTGTATATCTGCAGAACTCTGTAGTATTGCATTGTTCCTATATTGTCATTTTTATTGGCAGTGTATCCAGATTCTTCAGATAATCAAGGCAAGAAATTACCCATGACCCTCGGTTACCTTCTAAAATACAACCTGAAGTATGTTTAACTGTTTAAATTAGTATTCGTGTTAAGGCTACTTTTTGGAGAAAAAGGATAAATATTCTTTAGTAAAGAAACCAGGAAAATACGGATATAGGATTGTCATAATTACATAAAACTATACCAAGTCTAAGTGTTTTCTTTAATGGTGATTTTAAGTGATTCTTAATCATTCACTGAAAATCTATCAATGGTTTTTGGCCCAGTTTGGCCCAGTTCTATGACTAAATGGTGTGGAGGGACTCACAGCCCCACGCCCTGGGAGAGTAAGAAGGGAGAAAAAGGGAAAAGCTGGGGAGACGGTCCTAAAAACAAAATAGTGGCAACAAGCTAAGGGAGAAAATTAATCTACTAAATATGATAGTAGGATGTGATATGGCATAATATAATACACGATGTTGTGATGTGGAATATTGATAACAAAAAATCATAACGCAAAAACAAAAGAAAAAAATTCTAACATAGCATGCGACCAAAATTCCATAAGCTGCTTTATCATGGAAAGGAATGCACACATCCTAGTGCTGGAGCAGGTGTCAGTACCCCAAGCAAAGGAGCACAGTGCCAGTTGTGACCCCCTAAGTTACAAAGACATTACTGTCTGGCATATGTGACAATGACCTGATAAGAGACTAGCTGGAGACCAGGGAAAATACCTTAAAACCAATGAAGTGAACACTTCATTTTAGGCAATTGCAGTACGTAGTGACCTGGAAGTTTAAAGTTTCTGGTTTCCCAAAAGGACAACCAGCTGTATAGCCATTCAGGCTTTGATGAAGCTTCTTCACAGGAAAATCAAATTTTCAAAGCACTACCATTTTAATAAATTCTCAGATTACAAGGAAAATTTCTTTTTTGGAAAATTGTCAACCTGATATTTTTCATTTAAAGATATAGATGGCATTAGTATCTTCAGTCTTCTATTTACATTCCCACTAAATAAGACCTTACAGTATGCCTTTGAGTTTTTTCACTATATGATAATAAGATGGAGGATGGCTTAACAACTGTCCATAGGAAACAGAATATTCTCCAAAAACTTTGCACCTAGCAAAAAAAAAAATTTTAAAAATAGTGTCAACATCAAGACAAGAAAGCTAGTTCATTCTCCTGTAGGGAAATAAGCTTATCATATCATGGTTTGTTATCTGCTACTTTGAGTTACAACTTTGGTGGCATCAGACAAAATTATTAAAAGGGGAAAGGGTACCTTCTAACCTCTCATTGTAATAATGCCTATGTATTTTTATGACTATAAAGAAAATATGGAAACTTTCATGAAGAAAATCCATTATTTTAGTTTATAAACAGAATGTTATTACATTACGTGATCAAAAATGCAAAAATGCTGACAGTTTATTTATTCTGGCATGCTACGAAAATGAAAATGTACTCTGGCTTTTCTTTTATGTGCTATGTAAGCAATTATGGTTTTTTTCTGAATCTTTTAAAGGATGCAGAAACTCCTGGAAACTTGACCAGTTTTGTGGTGGCATGCAGTATTGGAAACATAACTATTCGAGATCTTCAGGAATATGTGAAGATTACAATTAAACATACCAAAATTCAAGTAAGAAGAGACTGATTATTCAAAAGAACAGGAATGCAGATTATGTATAAAAGGGCTACTTCAAAATTAATGCCTCCTATCTTATTATCAAGGCCCTCAACCTCAGTGGCAGATGAGGCAGTACAGCAGTAGAGATTGAACATTTTTTTGCTGTGAGACAGATGGCGACAGGTAGTCTGATGAGATGCCATCTGACATGGAAGTGCATTTGAAGCAAAGGTGTGTCACTGAATTTCTCCATGGGGAAAAAATGACACTCACTGACATTCATCAACACTTGCTGAGCATTGGTGGAGATCAAACAGTGGATGTGAGCACAGTGAGGGAGTGAGTAGTGTGTTTCAGCAGTGGTAACAGCAGCAGTGGGTCACCTCCACTGGGGCACATTTCTAGAACAAGCATGGCATTCAAGCTCTTGTTCTTTGCTTGCAAAAACTCATAGCTAATGGTGGTGACTATGCTGAAAAATAGCATTTTGCAGCTGAGACTTTTCTCTATCAAGTGGTGGCATTGTGTCCTTCGTATCTGTTGTAGTTTCTACTGAAATAATTAGGAGGCATTACTTATAGAGTGACCTATTAGTAAAGACTGAGCTTATAGCTTCATTGATTTTAGCAGATTTTGTATATTAACTCAAATGTAAATAAAATCTCTAACAAAGCAAGTAAGCAAAAAGTGAAAAATAAATAATCTCATTCTCACACATTCCTAATCCATCCATGATTTATTAGAAAGACTATTGATTCTGGCACTCAGAGGCAATTTGTGCAAATAACTATTTGTAAAACCCATTTTCATGATCAGTTTATGACAATGCTCATGACCAGGGACATTATTTATTAAGCTGGAACTTTATAATGACTTAAATTCTTTGATTAAACAGAAATTTCTTCATTAATAATTCCCAAAGATATATATATATATATTTATTATGTGGATTTCTGCACAAGAAGAATGGGCAGAACCACATTTTTTAAAGATATAATTAATTCATGGAAATAAAGCCCCAGTGCTACCCTTCGATACCTACAGTTTCAGTTAAAAATATAAAACCACAGCTACCAGTAGTTACTGCAAAAGAGACAACAGCATTAGAGAAATGAAGAAAGACGGTGTTGAAATTCAGTACATAGGTAGATTTTTTACACAGTGATAAGCTGATTCATTATTTTGACATTTCAATTCACTTTACTTCTTGGTTTTATAACTATTTCAAGGTTAGGCACAACAACCTCCACTCAAGTTCAGCAGACTTTTGCATGGTTGTGAGGCCAGTTACATAGAGGATTCACTGAGACATAAACAGTAAAACAATACTTAGACATTGTAAAGGCATCATACTCATGGATTACTTTAGTGAGAAAAAAAAATGTTCTCATTCTGAGGATGTGGAAAGATAATACTCCTTTTTGTAATCTGTGCAAATCTGTCTTTCTAGAAGAATAAGGTCTAGCAGAATTCCACTGCTTGTATTGTACTGTCTTTCTAGCAGAAATGTACATAGAAAAACATTTTCTGAAAATGTATGTATTGATGAGATTTGTATCTGCAGAGGTATAAATAGTCTTTTCTGTGTGTTCTTAGGAAGATCCTAAGCCAACCTGTGTCTTCTGGGATATGGCCAAAAATGGTAAGTTTAAAAATACCGTCGTTTCTTTTATGTGAATAAAAAATCAGTCACTGTCTTTGTTTCTTCTTACTTCTTTATCAGTTTGAAAAATTAGGTGACAACTTTAGACTACATCATTTCTTCTTATTAGTAAAGTCACTTGTAAAAGCAGATGTTAAATATTCTTATTAAAAATTTCGCTTGTAATCTTGGTTAACATTTTAAATTTGTAATGTTTCTTTATTTTTCTGTATCTGATAACTGTTCTTCACTGATCTGTTTATATGTGAAAATCAAATAATAATGCTAATCAGATAGATACATGTTTCTTAGATATCCTGCTAAAATTTATTGTCCAACATAGCAGATGAAAGTAGGAAAGTCGGTCATAATTACTGGGGAGAATGTAGAAGAATAAAAACAGAGAGAGAAAAGAAAGAACTAATTAGTAATCTAAATTGATAAAGCACATCCAAGGAGAAACAGTTTTGAATGATTTTGGAACATCACAGTCTTCTGAAAGATTTTGTCTTGAATTGGAGGTAAAGTTACGGGGTTTGATAGATAATTTGCAGAATTTTTCCTACAGTTGGCAAAACATCCTGAAGAGCTCAGAGAACATGAACAGTTTCTCAAAATTAGCTCATACTGGAGTGGGAAAAAAATGAAAGAAGTTATCAGGAATGCAAATATTACTTTTTTACAGTTTTTTTTTAAATAAAATATTTCTACATTTATTTTTCAAGAAAATGGGATAAGAAGAGGATAGTTTACTTCATGTTTTCTTTAAGAATATCTGAGAATATCCACTCTGATCTTTTGTACCACACACTGCAGAGAGGAAGGGTGGGATCCTATGCTTGTAGGCCATAAATGCTTTCATGTGCCTGGGGATGTGTGAGTAGGAGGAAGGCAGGTGCAATCATCACATCAGGGTGGTATAAAGGAGTTCTAAAACCATTGTATCCTTCGGTAAAATTAACGTGTGTCTAAATGCATGATCCTTGTTCATTAGCTAAAAAATTCCCTAACTTTACTATAGCCCTTGTTTCTTCTCAGTAGGCCATAATTGGGACACTTGTCTGATGGAATTCTCTTAGAAGCTAAGAAATCTAACACTTTCTTCTTTAATGATTGATTGCTTCTAATATCCACTTGTGTTATATGTTTATTATTTATGCATTTCCGCTTTTGCTCAAGATGAGATGAAGAACCCAATGAGAAGATCATAGATGTTTGTTGGGAAGTAAAGTTACTCCTATTCCATTTCTACAGGTGGCAATGGTGGCTGGAACCCTACGGGCTGTGAAGTGCAAGCAGAGTCCAATGAAAATGAAACAGTTTGCTTATGCAACCACCTCACACACTTTGGGGTACTCATGGTAGGCAAACTCTTATTGTTCACTAGATTGTCTTTCCTAGAAACCATAGCATAGTTTTTCTCATCAGTCAAGACAGCTATTCTCATTCATGTTTGTTTTGTGAGCTATTCCTTTTATACATGATTTTTAATTTTCATACATCATTTTCCTCCTATAAAATTTTCTTTTCATAACAAAATATCTAATGATAATCACCAAAAACAAATAAAGTGATGTGGCTAAATAAAAAAGAAATAAAATTGTCCCCATAAAAGTATTCTGTATTTTGGAAAGTACTGTGCCACAGCAGATTTCGGGCAAAGGCTTCTGAGCAAATAGCATATTATATTATCCAATTTCAAAGCCAAGACATGGCTGGGTGAAAAAGAAGACCAGAATAAGACACTATAAAATGAAGGAACAGTACTAAATCTTCCACCAGCAAAATGGAAAAAGTAGGAAAATGTTCACAGAAAAAAAGTAGAGAAATATTTTTTTTTAGAGGAAGAGGTGAGGCACTGGTTTCAGAACAAAAAGCAGAGCACTGTATTTTTAGGGAAAATGATCAGGGAGAAAAAAATGTCCTAAAGTCAGAGTAATAGCTAATGAGAACAAAAAGTCAAGACAATGGAACACAGTAATTCCACCTCATCTCAATATTCAAGGGGCTAAATTGGAATACTTTATTTAGCAAAATTGATTAACTGTTACTTCCTCTTTTTTAAAAGATATATATTTGATCAGCTTTGGAGTTGCTTTGCAGTAGAGAATCACAGAATCACAGAATGGCTAGGGTTGGAAGGGACCTCAAGGACCATGAAGCTCCAATCTCCCTGCCACATGCAGGGCCACCAACCTTCCCATTTTATACTACACCAGGCTGCCCAGGGCCCCATCCAATCTGGCCTTGAGCACTTTTAGGGACAGGGCATCCACAACCTCTCTGGGCAGCCTGTTCCAGCACCTCACTTCTCTCTCTGTAAAGAATTTCCCCCTGACATCCAACCTAAATCTCCCCTCCCTCAACTTCAAACCATTTCCCCTTGTCCTGCAGTTATCTACCCTTTCAAAGAGTTGATTGTAGGCTCCTTTTAGGTACTGAAAGGCTGCAATGAGGTCACCCCGCAGCCTTCTTTTCTCCAGGCTGAACAAGCCCAGCTCCCTCAGCCTGTCCTTATAGGGGAGGTGCTCCAGTCCCCTGATCATCTTCGTGACCCTCCTCTGCCCAGCAAGAGCTGGTACAAAACATATATAACTCCTATTTTATCAGAAGATTAGGCAAAACCTCCAGACTGCATGGCTGAGATAGATAAACATTAGCATATCAAGAAGAGGGACGAGGGTACCTTCCACCTCAGGGGCATGATTGTGCATGGTGATATTTGGATGTCTCCCGTAATTTGTCTGTTTGATGTGTTTTTGAAAGAAAAAAACTCAACATGAAAAGGATGAATTATTTCTGTCTCAGCTTAAAATTTTGTGATTTTTTTACCCTCACTAATAGGGCAAACCTTTTTTATTTTTTTTTACTCCAAAATTTATTCTTTGGCCTGTGATTAAAAACTGCTGAAAACCTGTTGAGTTCTTATCGCAGCAATGCTCCTAATGAAAATAGATGTGGTTGGTTTTTTTTTTTTTTTTAATTGTTGCAGTGACAAATTGGATTTCTCTGTGACAGGGAGTTTCAGGCAGTGACTTTTTCAGTTTTGGCTTTGCATAGCCTTCCTAACAGAGTTGCTCTCTTCACATCATGCTCAGATGTCAATGGAAAATAGTCACAAGCTTTTTATCTTTTTGCAAGCTAAACTGTGGTTTTGTTTCACTTTTCATCCCTGAAGGGGGAGGGGAAAGGATTTTCTTTAGAATATGCTCAATGAGTTCCTTCTCTACCCTAAATGCTTTAGTGACATTAAGAAATAAGGGAGAAGTTCTTTGAATTTGGGCTGTGTTCCAACAGATTTTTTACACAGTTTTGAACCTTCCAGTTGCTTTTCCATTTCAATAATCTTATCTGACTTTAATTCAGATATTAAATTATTTTCAAATAACAATCTCTTTACATACATAATATGTTACAAGGTTGGGACAGAGTTTGAAAAGCTGCATACAGTTCCTTCACTTTTTTTCTGAAGAATAGCATGTTCTGCAGCCTTCCGTTGGTTCTTTCTGCTAGATGTTGCTATCTTTTTTTCTAAGGAAGACAGTTCCACTGACTGTAGAGCAAATGATATTAAATGCTAATTTTTGCTCACACAGTCCATGGTGATATAGATCCAAACATTCTCATTTTTTCTTTCCCTTAAAAAAGGAAATAACCCTGGCATTTATTCTCAGACAGGACTATGTGGCAATTACAGTTGGACAGAGAACTGGAAAAAAAAAATCCCCAGAATGTTCCTACTTCATTTCCAATCTTTTTTTGAAATGTTGTCACTATTTTTCTGAGCAATTCTATATATAACTGTAGTTTGCATGTCAAAACAGACCATAAATGCAAAGAACAATATCTTGCCCTTGGTTTCACCTATAGACAACTAGGTAAATTGATTCTTATGAGCTCTTCTAATAATAAGAAATGATGTCAAAAACTCCCCAGAACATTGTGCATTTCATTATGAACAATTTTTAGATTACTTTTTCAATAGATGTTCAACATTCGTATCTTCTTAAAGAGAGTTGTGCATAAGCAACAGAAATTAAGAAATATATATTTTATCTGGGAAGATTTTTTCCACAGAAGGACATGGAAATTCCTGGTACTGAATTGTAAGGAGCATCATCAAGCTCTGTCTATCTGCTGAAACAAGCATTTATAATTCTCACAGCACAATGTTTTCAAGAACAGTGGGAAGGAAGTGAGAGGTGTAACAACTATAAACTAAGTATTCTCGGTAAACATGAACCCTGACATCAAGTTATGTTGTTATTGCCAAAGTGTTTCCAAGTTTCACTTGACTAATTACCAAGAGTGTTGTGCTGCAACTGACGCCTCTTCTTTCTGTCTCCCATAGGACCTTCAGGGAACCACTACAGAAATAGACCCACAGAATACCAAGATCCTCACTTTCATCACTTACATAGGCTGTGGGATATCTGCTATATTTTCAGCTGCAACTCTTCTGACATACATTGCATTTGAGTGAGTACTAGTGCTGTAAAAAAAAAAAAAACAAACACAAATGAAGTACACTTATGTGATAAAATAAATTAGCTATATGTTTTTCGTATTATTTCTTGCATAGGAAGGAAAGCATTCAAAAAAAAACAAATTCTGAGCACAAATATGGAAGTAGATTTATTTATTTATTTATTTGTTTGTTTGTTTATTTATTTATTTATTTCAAGAAGCTTAGGTTCATATTCTCTCCTGCTTTAAATATGCTATGTTCCTCAGGCAAGGCAACAAGGTTCGTGGGACCCAATATACTCTCTCATGAGTATGATATTCTCTAGGTCCAAAATAGATCTATATTATAAAACTCACAGCCAGGCTTTCTGTGAGGAAATAAAACAAAACAAAACAAAAACAACGACAAAAAAAAAAAAAAAAAAAAAAAAAAAACCAGCCATGAAGCCAAGTTATTCAGCACTTTTAACAAAGCACTATAGGAAATGCAAGGGTTTTGAAATAATGCAGCTTTATGAACAGTCAAAAGAGAAAACGAAGTCACCTCAATGCAAAGCAACCATCCTGCCATTCTACTAAAGGATAGTTTTCTGAGGGAAAAAATAGGGGGCTTCTGAGATCTTCAAAAATAGTTCTAAATAAATCTCTAATAATTGCATTGCTATTGCATTACCTAAGGTATAGTGTTTTTGTCCAAGATGGCAGAAATTGCCCCACAGTTCGTACATTTCAATGCGTTTCAGTTACAAAAAGAAAGAAACAAACAAGCAAGCAAAAACAAACAAACAAAAAATCCCTGACAACAGCACCAGTAACAGAAGAAACCAGGATATATTGGTCTGGATGATATATTCCAAAAAGTTGCAGATATTAATATATGAAGTAATTAGACCTCTGGCCAACTATATTTTGAGAGTTTGCTGTTAATTTTTTTCTGTCTTTATTTTAGGTACACAACACAATGCATTATGTTTAATTTGAAGATTTGCTAATGCAAATAAATGAGTTGATAAAATATTTTGACAATTAAGTAGCTCATTAAGGGCCCAAAAAAGTGCTGACTTTCCCTTGGGTAGTTGGAACCAATTAATCTTATGCTTCTGTATTTCTCTCACTAGGAAGCTAAGAAGAGATTATCCTTCCAAAATCCTAATGAATTTGAGCACAGCTCTGCTCTTTCTGAACTTGACTTTCTTGCTTGATGGTTGGATTGCATCGTTTGACATAGATGGCCTCTGCATAGCCGTTGCTGTACTTTTACACTATTTTCTTTTGGCCACCTTTACATGGATGGGACTAGAAGCCGTTCATATGTACATCGCTCTAGTGAAAGTGTTCAACACCTACATACGGAGATACATACTCAAGTTCTGCATCATTGGCTGGGGTGAGTTCCATAGAAGCAGTTTTTACAGTGTGCTTTTTGAAATGATATTTTTTAGCAGACCAATGTCACAGATACAAAACAGAATCAAAATCAGTCTAAAGTTTCCTTCCCTCACCCTGAGGTGCTGGCACACATCCAGCTGAGGACTCTGTCACGGAGACCAGAGTTCCTGTGGATGGTTCAGTGAAAACACACTGGAACTGGCAATCTCTGCCTCAGGAGAAGCAGAGAGACCAGATACACTAGTGTTTCCAAAGAAGCCAGCATGTTCCTGCCATATCAGAGACAGAAAACTGTGGCACAAAATAAATTCATATCTTCACACTGACTTTCAAGAAGATCTCAGTTGAGCCTGCAGTTTCTTGCCAAAAATATATGGCGGAATCAGAAGTGATCAAACTTTCCTGAACTTCAGCAGTTTTTAAACAACAGAGAAATTCTTCCTGCCCTAAGAAGCATACACTGAAGGACCGAATTGGAAAATGTAATACTGAAAAATAATTGTAAGGCTCAGGCAGAAAGGCTTTTATTCTTCATTTTTTTTATATCAGGAATCTGTGCTTTCTGTCTGAAAGCACATATTGTGTTTGAAATAATACAGTACAATACAAAACCATTAACCTCATGACTAGAGCACTGACCTCAGTCCAGCTGGTAATTGATGTCTTTCCATCGGCTACTAGCATCCTTTTTGGCAACATTAGCAGAGGACATGGACTGAGTGGTAGGAAAAGCAAATTAACCTCTTCCCCCTTTGAATCTGTTTTGTCATTGCAGGAATAAGGCATGTAAATAAGGCATGTCAGGAAATGTGCATTTGCTCCATGTGAGCTGTATCTCCTTCTCTCCTTCTACGCATAGTTCTTTTCCACATTATTATTTTCTTATTATTTTCCCAAAATATTCTTTTTACTATATTAATAAAACAGAAATAGTCTTCTTTTTCTTTTTTTTTTTTTTTTTTTTTTTGGTTGGTGTTGAAGTTAAGGGCATCTAATGTTTTAGAAAACATGAAGATATTTTCAGCTGAGAGAAGCAGAGCAGAAATTACAGGTTTGAGTTCATGTTCCCCGGTTTCTCATCCTTCTTAAATGACATCAACATCCCTGGAAAGAAATCGCTCCAAAAATATCCCAATCCCAACTCTTCTTTGATCTTATTGTTTCAGTAATTTGTTAGTCTCCTTTCTTCATTATGAGAGCCTGGGTGCAAGTTCTTTGAGAGAAATACCTTGTCACATCCTAATATAGCATTTTCTAACTTAAAGAAAGGACATTAAGTAGTTTTATGTAGTTTTCTGACATAGAGCTACCTTGTGATACTCTTTACTAAAGCACTACTGTTGGAAACATTGATAATTTAGCTTTGCACGGTAATCTTGAAAGTTCAAGAGATTTGAGAGCAAACTACAGTGTTCTTGTATTACAGGTTTGCCAGCTCTAGTGATAGCAATTGTTTTGGCGAGCACAAATAAAAATGCAAGTCACGTTTATGGCAAAGAATTGTATGGCAGAGATGCTACTGGGCAAGGGGACGACTTGTAAGTATTTACAATCTTTTACAATTTAGCATTCAGCATGGAGAAAAGAAAAAGCATTATCCAGATAGCTTTGGAAAACTCATATGTGAATAAAACAAGCAAAATGGACAAAATTGTCTCCTAAATTTTTTAGTCCAAAGTGCAAAGAATTTCAAATAATTCACTTGAAATTTGAAATTTTTCATTTGAAATTATAGCTCTGCAGAAGAGAAACCATATGTAGACAGATTTTCCTTGTAGTTGAATAAATGATGTTATGTGCTACCTAAAAATGATTGTACTTTTTTTTTACAGCTGTTGGATCAAGAATAAGGTTGTCTTTTATGTGACTGGTGCTGGATACTTTGGAATCATGTTTCTCTTGAATGTTGCCATGTTTGTAGTAGTGATGGTGCAGATCTGTGGGAGGAATGGGAAAAGAACTAATCGAACTCTAAAGGAAGAGATCCTGAGGAATCTCCGTAGTGTGGTCAGCCTGACCTTCCTCTTGGGCATGACATGGGGCTTTGCCTTTTTCGCCTGGGGTCCCTTAACTCTGCCCTTCTTATACCTCTTTTCCATTTTCAATTCACTTCAAGGTAAGCAGAATTTCTCTTTCTTGTGAACAAACAATACTTGAGCCATTGCTGTTCTGGGAGATCTTACATCCAGTGATCCATCTAGGGAACTCAGACCCAAGTTCTCTGGATCTTACCCTGGTACTGAAACATCATTAGTTTACTGTTTTGTAGAACACTTGTACCTACAACATATGGGTTGAAGGTCTTTGTTAGATCAATTAACATTTCAAGGCCTTTTAAATAAAATGCACAGTATTATAAATAGTGCTATTCCTAGCTAACAGTCTGCAGTGATTTCTGCTGATAGATTCTGTATGACCTTCAACATTTCCTTTCATTGATTACAACAAATATAGGAAGTCTCTTTCCTATATTTTTTCCTGTAGGGAATTTGTAAGGCTCATAACTATTTTATTAAGCCATGAGAAGCTCATAAGGAAAAATCTAGTCCTGTGTCAATGTGGAGAGATGGCACAGAGATAAATTATATTATTTGGTTCCTCAAGGAAAATCCAGTGACTGTTGTAGGCGGGTTTTTGTGTTTACTTTTGCTGAAGTTTTGAGTATTTTACTTTTCCAGTGTGGTTAATTCTTCTGAAAAATGCTATAAATTGCAATCAATTATAGTTTACAGAATCATATTGTTGCCATTCAGAAGAATTTCAGTTCAGAGCTGATTTACTCTGTACCAAATGATGTAAAAATCTCCATCTCTGCTACTCATTAATACAGAAGAACAAAAGCATATGGAGAACCCACAAAGGTCACTGGAGGGGTACGTGTTGAACCACACACATATTAAAATGAAAAATATTAGTTTACTCAGGGAAAAAGAAAAAAGGCAAAACAAAAAGTAAACCCAAGGATGTCATTGGAGGAGCATGTGTTATGCCACACAAACACTGAGATAAAAAAATACATAATTTCCCAAGGTCAGCAAAATAGCTTCCCTTAATGGAGTACTTAATGTAACACTATGTGGTTTTTATCTGTTAGGGTAGAGACATATTTACTGCACTAAAAAGATTTATTGAGCTTTCGTGAAAAGAGAATGATGTTGTCAGTTTTGTTTTGGTTCAGTTTCAACCTGAAAGGCTAGGCAAAATGGCAAAAATTGTTTGAATGTGGTGTTCTTACTAAAGACTTTTTTTCCAGTGGCCAAAGTCTAATACTCCCCCAGGCACATAATGAGATATTTGCTGTAATGTGTCTGTGTCAGAAATTCAGAAAGGCCTAGAGAGATTAAAAGCATGGGAAGAACATGAAAAAAAGATTAAAACTCTGAAGAGCATGCCAAGGATCAAATTCAGCAAGTATTCTTTAACCAGATTTTCCAGTGCAATCAATTAAGCATGTGCGTGCAGAGTGCACACAAGGTTGACCACCACTGCTTAAGTCTCTGTGGGGTAATAGCACTGTCAAATGGAAAAACAGTAGGTCAGAAGATGAAACCAAAAACCCTGAGAAGTAAACACAAGAAGATGAGAGATATGCTTTTGATGGATTGCTGTAGCAAAGATGGCATAGTATACATTCATACAGGTCATAACAAGCATAGGAAGATAATAATCCTGTATCTTATTGCTTAATGCTTATTGCTGTGTCTTTAGCTTTAGGCAAAGCTAAAGAAACCAGGAAAAGAACATCTCAAATCACCAGTAACTGGTGCAGCACGCATCTACCTAGAAGTAAGAGGATAAAATAGCGCAGAAGGAAAATTAAGCATTTGCATCAGGAAGCATTTTCTAGCATCCAAAAATAATTCAGTGTGGAGGTCTTCCATCATTATTAGTATGAGCTTAATTACTGAGCCTTCCATAAATATGTCTATTTTCTCTCACATGTTTATGAAAGCTGTGCTAGTGTTTTAAGCTGTACCAGAAGCCTCCATTGACCTAGTTGTCTGTGCACTGGCAGTGAAAACAGTACAGTGCTGCAACTACTGTGTTACTGTACTTTGCTATTACATCTACATAGGAAATGATTTTTCTCTCTTTGACACTTAGAGTAAAAAATCTGGGAACATCTCTTTTTTGGCTGCTCGTTTTATATATGCCTGGGCAAGCCAAATACTTTCAAGTTAGGGCCAAGCTAGAGCCAAGCCTAGGGTCTGATTTGTCTCTGGGAAACAAAACCAAAGCTGTGTTACTAAAGCACATTGTAAACTTAATGAATAATGAAATACAGAGAAAAACATTTCAGAGACCAAGCCCAGACAGGGCAAAGGCAAAGTACATAATGTAGTGCATTTGTTCTGTAATGCTCTAGACATTGGCATTTTCTTTTTTAACCATTCAAAATGTTCCAAATATTCACCACAATTTAATTAAATATCAGTTTAATAAGTTGGTAGTAATGCAGAAGTCCTAAGAAGTACTTAGGGTACAAACAGCTGCACCTCTCTGAGCAAGTAAAGACTGCTAGAGATTGTGTTGGAATTACTCTGTGCTTAAACAAAACGCACACAGAAATATCTTACTAACTGCAAACACAATAAACAGATTTGGACAGAGCTTGCATGTTTTATGCATTAAGGTACCTTCCTTACATTGTTCTTCTCATTTTTCTTTTGACATTTTTCATTAATGCAAAATGTTAGCAAAGTTAACTGTCTTGGTTCTCTAACCTAGGTGGTCTCAGCCTGGCCTGAATGCCATAAGCAAATACACCCAAAATTCAATGACCAACATTCAATGACCAACCAAAATTACCTCAGCATTTTGGAGGAAATAGGATAACTTTATGTACCAGATCTGCTTTTCCAACCTATATCCTGCCATTGCATTCTTACTAGCTGAAACTTAGTGGGCCATTAACATATGTTGGAGAGGAGTCCAGAGGAGGGCCACAGAGATGATCAGGGGACTGGAGCACTTCTCCTGCAAGACAGGCTGAGAGAGCTGGACTTGTTCAGCCTGGAGAAAAGGGCGCAGGGTATCCTCACTGCAGCCTTTCAATACCTAAAGAGAGGCTATAAACAGGAGGGGAATCAACTCTTTGAAAGGGTAGATAACTGCAGGATAAGGGGAAATACTTTTAATTGGAGGGAGGGAAGATTTAGGTTGGATGTTAGGGGGAAGTTCTTTACTATGAGAATGATGAGGTGCTGGAACAGGCTGCCCAGAGAGGTTGTGGATGTCCCATCCCTAGAGGTGTTCAAGGCCAGATTGGATGGGGCCCTGGGCAGCCTGGTGTAGTATTAAACGGGGAGGTTGGTCGCCCTGCCTGTGGCAGGGAGTGTTGGAGCTTCATGACCCTTGAGGTCCCTTCCAACCCGAGCCATTCTGTGATTCTGTGAACGTCTTAAAGGAGCAGTCTTTGAGGATGGCAGTTAATTATGTTGCCTAATTGATTTATTTTTTGCATTTACTTGCCTTTAAGATATAATCATGTGGGATTTGGTAGTAACATTTGTCATCAGATATTCAGCCTTATGTTGGCTGGCTCCCAGGGAATAAGAGTAGAATGAGAACAGACCAGGACAGGGTAGGATGGAAGATTCCACAGCTGGTGCCTGAGGGTGCCAAGAGCACAAGAGATGTCCAAGTGCTATATTTAGCTCCAAAATATCTCTGTAGGATGATTAACTTATACCTTATGACCTACTGGACACCTATTTACCCTATGGTAGATGCCCGTCTTCTATCTTGAATGTAAATAGCTTTATTTCTTAAAAAAGTGAAAACTACAAAAATATTCTTAAATTCTTTTATTGCAGTTGCATGCAAAAAACAGGTAATTTTGTTCAAAAGTATCTGCACATCTAATTAGTACTTGCAAACATATTCTTACCATTCTCATAATCATTTCAAGTACATTCATGTGATACATGTAAATCCGAGAGCATGCTTAAGTGCCAACTTCAGGATTTCGGGTTATGAATGTACACAGCCCACAGTACTGTGGATATAGAATGGGAGGAGGTGAAATATCTTCTTGCTAACAAAACAGAGTCTGTATTTACTTTGCAGTCTGGTTCTTGCAGTCCCATTGAGTGCAAAGTTTATGTCTACTTCAAAGACAAAACATTTAATGGTTTACATCTAAGCCAAAACATAATTAAAAGATCCACAGAGAGCTGAGTATGAATCAGCTGAATATGAATGTCAATTAAAGGGCTCTCATCTCTCTCTTCTGATACACCAGACACTTGTATAGCAGCAAGAGGATGGGAAAGCTTTAATTAATTCCCAAACATATTAAATGAGGCATGTGGATAGATGACAAGATTTGTTTTTGCTTGTACTTCATAATCTTTTGTTATCAGATTTTAGACAATTTACTTATCCATTTAGAATACATGTTTTATTTGCTTTTGTTGAAGGTTTATTTATATTTGTATTCCACTGTGCAATGAAAGAAAACGTGCAAAAACAATGGAGGAGACATCTATGTTGCGGCAGATTCCGACTGGCAGACAATTCAGGTAAAAACAAGTCATGAGTACTTGTTTTATGCAGTAGTCTGGAAAAGTCCAAGCAACCAGCTTGCTATGTTGTTTTTAATATAATACTGTATAAACCAGAGATGTTGAAAAATAGATTAATCATAGGATATCACTCCACTTCAAAAACAACAATTGCCAAAGGATTTTTCAAATGTCACTTCATAAAAAATCTCAAAACTTTTCTTTCAGTTTTCCACCGAAAGTAACTGGTGAATTTTGTAGTGCTACACAAATGGTTTTGGAAGGCCTTCTGGAGCCTTAAAAAAAATGAATAAAGGTCCGAACAATCAAATTCTGTCATTCAGAAACTAATATTAATCCTTTTTCCCTGCTAATTAAATTATGATGACTAAATTGTTGACTATTGGATTGATGGAAGATTGATTCTAAAAAGTTATTTGAAACTGTTCTGACCTTCACCATGTTAATGAGAGAGAGCAGCAGAAACTCAGAAGTAGGAAATTCCTGTTGCAGAAATCAGGTTAGGTTCCAGAAGTGATGTTCATCTTTATCTGTATGGAAGGAGAGCCATCCTTTGCAGCATTTTTTTTGGGCACCGCAGAGTGTCTCCTGAACCTTTGGCCATCTTGGATGATGTTAGACTCCTGTGTCCTCCTTTGCTATATATGATTTCATAGTTTTGGACTGCACAATTCTTGCTCAGTGACGGGGATCCAATAAATAAAGTGGCATGAGCTCCTTGCCTGTTGAGGTAAACCAGCCCATCCTGAGTTACTGCAGTGCTCCAACTTCTTCAGTGTCCTTCCTGTCTTGATATCCATACGATGTTTCAAAGTTATAAGCAAATGCCTTGCCATCAAGAGTTTAGCTTTGCCATGTTCAGTTTTGTTTAGGAGATGCATTCTCAGTGTAAACTTGTAAACTATGAAACTTTTATGCTTTCATTACAGTAAAAAGGTCTGAGTCATGATTTCAAAGAGTTAATACAAACTAGGAAAAATGAATTCATTCTGAACAGACATCCAAATTATTTCTTATGTTCAGTTTCCATGTGGTTCGGGTTGTAACTTCTGAACTGGAAAACACAGATAGACCAAATTATTTCCAGATTTTTATGCTGCTGTTGGGCAGCCTGTGGAGATGATAGAAATAAGAACCTGAAGGATTCCAGTATGTCTGTGATGTAATTAATGCACTGTCATTGCAGCCAGGCCATCACGTCTGGTTGGTTTTATTCTCTGTGAATCTGACAGGGTTTGCAGACAGAGCAGTGAGCCAAATGTGATCCTGCATTCTTATCTGATTGAAGTGAACTTTAGGGCATGTTATGGTTAAGCAAAGAAACAAACACTGCAAGAGTGCCATTGCTAAATCAGAGAAGTCGTAACTTATACACTGTAGCAATGTTTTAGGGTAAAAGCTTTCTCTGGATTTAAGTCAGAGCTAAAGCAGACAATGTTAATTATATGCCTTCTGTGATTTTCACTGTAGTATATATAGTGAATTAGAATGATAACCAAGATCACTGTGTGAAACTACTCGTATCTACCTGCAAGTATATGATGCAGAAATAGTAGTTCATTTATTCTGAGGGATACTGGTATTGGGAAACATATGACAAGATTTTCATTGTCATTTTTCACCAATAATTTTCTTTATGTTAGTTAATTCATTTAATTTCTGAAGGTCCTCCAACACAAGAACCTATACTGTTAATGGTTGTGCCAAAATTTGGTATACTGTGTGACCATTATTATTCATTGTAATTAATGGTGCAACAATATGCAAAACTCTGTAACAACGAGAACAAATTGCTTGTGTATTATCTACTTCAGCAGATCAGTCCCTCAAACAGTAAGACCACTGTAAATGCTTCTAATGCATCTAATGCTTGAAATGTATGTAATTGAATACATTAGGCATTTAGTACGATTACTGATAGTAGTCATCCATGTTAAACTTTTCAATCATTTTCAGATTGGAGCAAGACAGCAACAAATATCATAAAGAAGAGTTCTGATAATCTTGGGAAATCCCTATCATCTAGTTCCATTGGCTCCAATTCAACGTACTTAACATCCAAATCCAAATCTACAACAAATACATACTGCAAACGAAGTAGCCATACAGGTGAGTTCTTGTACTGTACACAGTAGATCTGTGGATACTTACTTTTGTGTTAAAGGTACACTAGATTACACAAAGATTAATGTGAGAAAAAATCACTAATTTTTATTATTGCAGTGTTTTTAATATACGTGTTACTGTTTAATAAGAATCTTAACTAAATAAGCAATACAACTCACGTATAGTTCTGATCTGAGTATGTTTCAGTTTTTTTCTGTAGTACTTTCCCCTTTCTGAATAAAAGAAGAGAACTTCTGTTATCCTTTTGTAAACACATAGTAACCAAAGCACAGAGGGATGACGCTTGTTATCCAAGGTATCATGCAAGCTAGCAGCACAGTTGGAAATAGGAATCAAGTATTCCAAATCCAAGTCCTCAGTTGATTCACTCAGCAAAACTGCTTCCATTTGACTGTAACACATTCATGGGTAAAGAAACAAGTGGAAGCTGCTTGGAAATTAATAATGCTTTCCCAGAGTACACACAGTTTTTCCGTCCTAGAAATAGCATGCAGTATTTACTGCTTATCTATTCAGACGTCAGCAGTGTATGTAATAAAAGGCATCAGTATTCCACTCATGCTGTAAAAATGTGCTTATTTTAAGGACACTCTAAAGGAACACAAAAAGAGAGGAGCTAGAATGATTTGCAAGTTTGTTTGCTTGTATCAAACTATTTCAAAAAATCACCTAAATATCTTATGAAATACTATTTAAGTTTTTTTTTGTTACTGAGTTTTTGTTAACTCATGTCATCTTATCTCATAGTTACATAAAATTAGCACAGAATCCTCTCCTAAAATGTAGCAGAAATAAAATCTACATACATATTTAACCCAAGGGGATTTATTTTCTTGTTTTAAATTGTATGTTACTAGCACTTTTCTAGAAATGAATTATATGAATTTACTGGAAGTTCCCAATATCTCATTTCCGATGTTCCAGTCTTCCTTCTATTTACATAGCATACTCTCCAGAAAGTATCCTATTTTTATTGATGATCATTTCCTGGTTCCGTTAGGCACACAACAATTTTTGTCTAGAAATCTATACTATGAACTTAATAGCAATAGATTGCATTCCCTACCTCAGATGTTCCTGTGGACTTGTCTGACATGACTGAGGAGGTGAGCACCGTGCCCTTGCTGCTGCAAAATATCTTTGGGTCTGCCAACAGAGAGTTCCCATTGGTACTCATGTAGAATCAATAAATAGGCCCTCATCATTGCAGATAGTTGTTTTCTCCTGGGCTCAGGGCTTTTAATTGGTCTGACTACCAAGGTGATTTACTCCTGGAGTTTTTGCAGTGCAGTTTTGAAGCCAGACATTAAAGCAGTTCCAGACAAGAATTAAGTTTGAAGAAACTTAGGAGCACAATCATGCACTTTCTTCAAAAGTAGTGAGCTTAATCCCATGCATAAATTATATCCTGAAGCAGATTACAGTTAGTACTGTAATCGTAGCCTGTTCTGTAGCTTGTGATTGTTTAGTAGATGTTAAGGGAATACCACAGTTTTCTCAATATTTTTTAATTTCCTTACGTTTTACTTTGAACACCAAAAATACACATTTTATTGTATTTTATTTTATATATTTCAATATTTTTTTCTGAAGTTAAGTTTTTAAATACCAATGTATCTTCTCACAATTCTAAAATAATAGAAAATAAGGCGCATAGTTCTCATTTTCAGTACCGCTAAAATTATTTGTTTGATGTCTTAGCTACATTGCAGTTAAATAATGTAATAGCTACATGCCTTGGTAGCTCTTGCTAATATGGTTGTAATGTGCATCCTGGAACTGACACAGGCATTCATGTGTTTGTGGTATAGATAATGTCTTCTAAGGCCCTTTCCTCACCAGTGATGGAGTGTTACAGGTAAAGTGAGAACTGCTTTTGTCAGATGCATGGTTTGGACAGGGTGGAGGGCTGCCATTTGCATGATGTCCTAATTGGCACTAAGGACTTTGCTTATCAGAATCACTGCTTGTTTCTCACTGTTACATCTTGCGTCACTGATGCTGAATCAAAAGATAAGCGTGCTTCAGACTCTGAATTTCTGTACTCTGCATTGTGCATGAAGCATTTGGAAGATGCTCTTGTAGAAAACAGACCATGTCCTGATATTAATGTTTGTGTACTATACTCTGGGGAAAGAAGGTCAAGCATTGAAGAACCATACACAAAGCATGTATTAAAAAGCAAAAACAACCTGAGACATACTTAGAAAAAAATCTGAAGATTTAAAAAAAGAATTGTATTAAAAATAGGAATTATACAGTGTATCTCGTCAGAGGCCATTACGGATTTTAGAATGACTAGAAGTCACTGTTCTTTCCTATCCAGCCACCCAAAATGAATTGGAATGACTAACTATGGAACTCTGAAAGTTGTACTGCAAATTGCCAGTTGAATTCAGAAAGCACATTTTGTAACACTTGTGGCAGAAAAAGGAAATCACTTTTGCACCATGTGACATTGCTGTCTATGAGCCTAATGCAAACTTGTTGTAGATAGTATGTAAATATTGTATACAATGTTTCCACAAATTAGAAGTTAAAATTAGTTCTGCATGGAATTTGGTGGTACAACTCAAGTTTGCTTCTTTGTTTACTTCTTTTTAACTCTGTATTGAAGTTCATTCTGGAAGGGAGGAAGGGAGGAAGGGAGGAAGGGAGGAAGGGAGGAAGGGAGGAAGGGAGGAAGGGAGGAAGGGAGGAAGGGAGGAAGGGAGGAAGGGAGGAAGGGAGGAAGGGAGGAAGGGAGGAAGGGAGGAAGGGAGGAAGGGAGGAAGGGAGGAAGGGAGGAAGGGAGGAAGGGAGGAAGGGAGGAAGGGAGGAAGGGAGGAAGGAAGGAAGGAAGGAAGGAAGGAAGGAAGGAAGGAAGGAAGGAAGGAAGGAAGGAAGGAAGGAAGGAAGGAAGGAAGGAAGGAAGGAAGGAAGGAAGGAAGGAAGGAAGGAAGGAAGGAAGGAAGGAAGGAAGGAAGGAAAAGGGAATAGAGGAGGACAGAGGAGAAAGGGAGGGGAAGAGAGGGGAAGGGAGGGGAAGGGGCATGAAGGGAAGAGGTGTGAAGGGGCATGAAGGGGCATGAAGGGGTGAGACGTGAAGGGAAGGGAACGGAACGGAACGGAACAGAAAGGAAGGGAACGGATGGGAATCTTAAAAAAATAAGGGTTCCACTGTTTTCAAAGAATTTACATAATTCCCATGCAAGTGGATTTCATAAGGAAATAGCTGTTTAACAATGTAATGGTGTCCTGTGAGGGGGTGGTATGTGGAGGGTGGAACTTCCAGGAGTTTTAAAAACTTTCTCTAACAACTAAGATTTAAATTTTTAATCTTTGTAATGTTACTCAATATATAGAAGAATTCCAAAATATAGTACCATTGGCTTGTAAATACATACACTTGAGAGGCACACAGTACCCAGCAGTTCACTATTGGACATGGAGTTACTTGCTGCAGTTCATGGACATTCTTGCGTGCTTTGAAAAAATCATTCTGATATGCCTGAACGTGCCTGTTTCTTTTTGTAATGAGCGAGGCTGTTTTGATTTCTTGCTCTGCCATCCATTTCTCTTTCATGCAATTCATTATACTGAAAAATTCCTTATGGTTTGATATCATGACTTCTGTATGGGATATCTTCTTTCCTGTTTGTTTTTCAATAATAATTTGTTTATATAGAAGACAAGTATGGTGTGAAATCTAATTTTAAATTGTGTGCTGTGTTTTTAAATGATCTTTTACTGAGGAATTTTTGAGGGTGATTTCACCTAGGTCTTCTAATCAGCCATCAAAAATTCCACTTGTAGAACACACTGCTAGACAGAATCCTTCATTTTGCTATTGGTTTATGATGGCCCAGGCCTTGCCTGTGTTGAGAGTTACCTCCAGCCGTACTCACTACAGTGGAAGAGATAAGAAAGCTCATTAAGGCAGTGTTCTTGAGAAAATAAGTTACAATCTCAGTTCCTCATTGCTTATTACTTGAGCTCTACCTACTGCCCATCCTCTGAATAGCAATTCTGTTAGCCTCTGAAGATTTCCCCTACCCTGCTGGAAACTGCCTTACTGGAAAATATTTTATTCCTTATTTTTCTTAAACTCCTCCATTGGCATGTAGCACATAAACTTTGAAAGGATGTGGATTTTCTGCATCTTTTGATCCCTACAGTTGTTCAATCTATACTGTCCTTTTTTTATGGAAAATACAACTTTATTCTATGTAAATGCAAAGTATAGTCCAGTTTTGGTTCTGGTTATCTGATTTAAGAGTAAGTCATATATTACATTCTGCAATTATTCCTATGCATAGATTATAACTTCCACAAGTGAAGTAATTAAAACCACTTAAGGTCATTTTTCAGTACTTTATTAAATGGAGATGCCATATTTTATGGACATCCCTCTCTTTCTAGTACTTTGTAAGATTAACAACTAAATTAACATATGAATGGGCAGTGACAGAACTTTAGGCAAAGGGATAGTGAGATAATTTTGAGAGAGACCTGAGAAGCCTGATCACCAAAACAGACATTGGAAAAGAAGTTAGAAGAAGTAATGCCAAGCCAAAAATGTTACATGCTGGCTTCAAGGGCAGTAATTTCTTTCAGCAGTAGAGGCAATTGAAGGCATATCCATGTGGGAGTGACACACCTCTTAAAATATGAGTTTGCTTAAGAAGCTCTAACTTCTTGTTTCTTTTTCCTCTTCCTAGAGAATATTTTTGTTGACAAGCCATCTTCAAAATTTGCCCAAGAGGATGGAGAGCAGACATCAATCATCCCTGTCCACCAGGTTATTGACAAGGTCAAAGGATACTGCAATCCTCACTCTGATAACTTTTATAAAAATATCATCATGTCTGACACATTCAGTCACAGCACAAAGTTTTAAATGGACTTCTGAATTCTTCAAACTAAATGAAGCCAAAACATCTGCCCAGAATGAAGAATACTGAATATCATACAATGTGATCTGCCCTGTTAATTTTTCCAGTTTATAATGTTACCTTATAAACAGATTCCACTTGTGGACCAATTTCTCTACCTTATTCCTATTGTAGGAAAGGACAATTTTTTGCCATGATATTGAGCTGTTTTACAGAGTGTGCCCACCAACATGGCACCAGGACAGTTAATCATATAAATATTTTTTTTAAGACAGAAGAAGAGCCATAAGCATAACTCCAAATGATACAGTCTGAACAGACACATATCCTGACTCCTGGAGAAAATAGCAGACATGTCATGCAGTACAGACAAGCTCTTACCTAATAGTATACTTATGGTCTATTTCTTTTGAAAAACATGAATTTTCCTACAGCACTTGTTAGATTCTCCTTATTTTCTCCTTACTGACTGTCTGATGCTTCCTGTTTTTTTGGGGTTTTTTTTGTTTGTTTGTTTGTTTGTTTGTTTTTGTAAGTGAATAAAACACTAAGACCAGTCTTATAGGGATTTTTAAAAAACATTTTTTTACTGAATAGACCTAGTTCTGTAAATTCAGGCTATTCTGAAAACAAATACATATAAACACTCTTACTACATAGATCTGCTGCATGAGGAAGACCTGTAGGCTGTTAGTAAATCTTCTGCAAATTTTAAGCCTATGAGATATGTATGGCAGCATACATCTGCATTGGTGCAGAACAAGGTAAATCCAAAGTTTGCACAAAATCATCTTTCAATGTTTAATGATCAGCATGTAGGAAAAGCAGTATCTCCCATTGCAACTTTTATTATGCCATGTTTGTACCAGTGTGTGCAGTCTTATTTTTTGCTAAACAAAACAGAAAAAGCTATATATAAATGTATAAATACATATTTAGATTTCTTTCCACACATACTTTTATAATATGCACTCAGTCAATATTACAGAGGAAACAGTGTGTACTACAGACAATCTAAGAAAGGCAAACAGTGGTAAACTTGAATACGCTTAATATTCTGTGATCCCATAGGTTCATTTGCCAGTCTCTCTACTTCAGATATGCTGTATGTATAGGCATCTCCATCAGATGGCTTTGCAACATTAGCATAACCTGAGTTACATTTACCAGTAATAAATACATGACATCATTCTGGGCACATGACACAGTCAGTATCAGTATCCCTCTCCTGCCCCTGCATTGGCTGATTGGCTTGAAGTTGTTGGAGGCACAAATTTTAAAGTGTTGAGGCAACAAGAAGGAATTTTGGCATTGCTGTACTGTGTATGTCATTACACTGATCTCACTATATGTGCAGACAACAGACAAGAGCATAAAATGCTTACTCGTTTTAAGGTATATAGATTTGTGACATGTTAGCTTGTGAACACGTCTGCCAAAAGTACATGAAGCATGTCTCACTCCTTGCCAGGTGTTGTAAAAGTTGTTATTGCACATGTCACAGAAAGAATGGGCCAGAACTTCAAAGGTGTTCTCAATTACTGATTTCAGAGGAGAATGTCTCCTAGTGGAAACTTTCTTTCTTTCTTTCTTTCTTTCTTTCTTTCTTTCTTTCTTTCTTTCTTTCTTTCTTTCTTTCTTTCTTTCTTTCTTTCTTTCTTTCTTTCTTTCTTTCTTTCTTTCTTTCTTTCTTTCTTTCTTTCTTTCTTTCTTTCTTTCTTTCTTTCTTTCTTTCTTTCTTTCTTTCTTTCTTTCTTTCTTTCTTTCTTTCTTTTTCTCTCTTTCTTTCTCTCTTTCTTTCTCTCTCTCTCTCTCTTCCTTCCTTCCTTCCTTCCTTCCTTCCTTCCTTCCTTTCTGTTTTTGTTTTTTTGTTTGATTGTTTTAATATATATATATAAAGACTTCTTTTTACCAATGTATTTTTAGGCAAATACTTATTTAGCTGCATTGGGAAAATGACAGAAAGTCACTCTGTAAGATGTTCTGTTGCTAAGCAGGTGAATACTCAGCGATTAGGGATGTGAATTTGTGCTTCTCTCTGCTCTTTGCACGCATCTTTGTGTGCAGAGATCTTTTAATGCTGTGACCGCACAAATGGAGTATTTTCCCTGGCTGCAAACACCTTGCAGGAGGAGTATGTCCTAACTGTATTCTGTCCAGAAACACTGCTGTTGCTACACACACCTTAACAAAACCTCAGTCTCCTAACTGCAAACATTTACTTACATGGTGGTATGAATGAAAGTCAACCTTATACATTTAACATGTAATTATTAGTAAGGATGAATGTGTCAGATATCTTTGAAAGAGGAAATTATGTAGGAAGAGATTATGTACAAGCATTTACTGAATTTATATATCATCCCATTTGCTTAACTACTGTAGGTAATAGTGTTCACATATGAGCTTACTGTGAGATTTCTACCTGATTAAGGTGTTCAGAAGTGAAAAGAAGGAAAATAAAACATTCCTGAAAAAAAAAAAAAAAGAGGAATAATAAAAAACAATGGATTAGTAAAATATAATAAGAAACCAATATCCTGACTGAACTCTAATCTAACTATCAGTTTAATGTACAGCTACTATATTTTTTTTCTGAAATAAGATTTTCTCTTTTCTTTTACTACCATGTAGTAATCTTAAACTATCTGTGTCAGTTAGATGCTCTGGAATGCTTCCAGTTCAATGTAAAACTTCTACTTTTTAGTTGACATACTGTAACCTCCCTTGTACATATTTATTTATTTGTGAGGTTAAAAATGTCAAATATACTTAGCTCTGTTACATCTGTTATTGTTTCGCTTCTGCTTCACCATAGAGAAAGAGTGAAATAATAATTTCTTTTATTTTTTTCCAAACATTTTGTGAAAAAATTACTGTAGTTCTGTATGAGGAAACATCAACATAATTTGTAATACTAGTCAGTGGAATATAGTGTAACAGTTTTGAAGATGGACTAAAGTGGAAAGAAACATTTTCAAGTAAACATTCTTGATGTTAGTGTACCAAATAATTAAAGTTTTCTTTTAGTAGTGAATGGTTGGATTTTTTTCTTTTCTCTTTTTTTTCTTTTTTTTAATGTTTAATGGCAAAAATTACTCAGTGGAATTCTGAAAAATAATCTTGTATTTATTAAACATGTGAGATAGATACGTGTCTAGCCAAAATGGTGGAAATAAATATGCAAGAATAACTCCATTTTAGAAGAGGAATGCATTCTGCAGAATATACTTTTCCTTTTTGTTAATAAGTAGATGCCAGATCCAGTGAGTGATCAGAAAGTTTGGTGAGTTCATTTACTTATGGTAGAACTTGCGTCATAGCAAGAAAGGAATATCAAGGTAAGAGAAAATAGGCTGTGAAAAGTAATACAAAAGAGTAATTGAAAACTAGGAGTTCTTTCTATTCATATGCTTCTTTCCAGATAAATTTAGTCCTTCATTATGAATAATGTGATTTAATCTGTAATCACATTTTGACTAATTGCTGTTATAATGCTGTAGTCAGCTGATCAATTAAATATGCACACTAATATAAAAACATTAAATGCAACTCTCTAATGTCCTACCTTTAAATATTTACACCTAAAGAACATGGAAACTCAGTGAAACATGTCAGAACTGCTCCCCTGTTACTCTCCTTGTACTTAAACCTTGCCCCAGAAATGCACAGTATTTGAAATTTCAGTAATAGTCTTTATAAAAGGCAATGAAAGCAAAACACATACTATCAATATGGATGCATAGTGTGCCCATGGGCAGCATATCCATGCATGTTTGTGGACAGTGAACACTGCCTTGGGCTCTCTGTGATTTGAATGGTGTGGGAGGGCCCTCTGAGAGAAGAAGTCCGGGTTTTTTCAAGTGGGATTTTGGCAGATACAAAACTTGTAAAAGTGATTTGCAGCATTTGAGGGTGGATTTATTTTTCTCCTCATTTCATCACTTTTTAAGTATCAAGAACAATTTTATTTTAGTCCTCTACTGTTAACAGCTTCCTACTGTAACCCATTCGGTTACATAAAATGCCACTTCATTTTGTTCCTTTTGAGAGGCTGATCTATATTCAGACATGTCTATGTAACCATAAGGATAGCTACCAACTTACAGGACATCAGTGTCATTCATGGAGGTGTTACAAAGATTTGTTTCACATTTTTTGTATATGAAGATGTATGACCATATGTGGGTCAGAAAATGAGGCAAAGGTCTTAGAAGGTCATGTAAATCAGTCATGCAAACCAGTCTGAGGAGCACTGCTGTGCTGAAGAAGCTTTTCCCTCTCCTTAGCCAATCTTTGTCTACTTGTTCCATATAATTTGGAATGCTCCTGGCCCTGCCTTGGCACTCTCATCCTCAGGACATACATTTGCTGCAGTGCAAGAAAAGGGGAAAAAAAAAAAAAAAAGAAAAAAAAAAAAAGGTTAAGGAAAATGAAATCAAGGAAAAGGAAAAATGGGAATGTGAAAGGAAAAGGAAAAGGAAAAGGAAAAGGAAAAGGAAAAGGAAAAGGAAAAGGAAAAGGAAAAGGAAAAGGAAAAGGAAAAGGAAAAGGAAAAGGAAAAGGAAAAGGAAAAGGAAAAGGAAGTCTGTCAAAGCCTGCTTAGCATTTTCTTGTGCTTTTCACATCGTTTCTTGTCCTCTCCCCAGGATGTGTTAGTTACCTTGAGCAGTGATGGATGTAGGCTAATGGAGAAGATGAAATAAACTACCATGGTTTTATGTGCACTTGTAAATCAAAGCAAATATATTTTCACTCTTCAGGTTTAAGCTGAAGACTTGCCATGATTGTTCAAGGCAGCAGCTCCATGCTTGGAGGCTGATATAACAACAGTATTTCAGTAATTCAGGATACCCTAATGCCTCCCATGATAAGAAATCAGCATGAGAAGCTCCAAGCATTGCATCTGAAACAGAAAAACAAATCCTGGAAAACTTTTATTGAAAGACACCCTTTTCTCAGATACACCTGCTTGCTCAAATCCACTGCTGCCATTGTTCTTTCATTAATCCCACATTCAGTATTCAAGAAGAGTGCATTTTTTGGTGGTGTCCATACAGACTGTATAACCAGTGCTGTCTGAAAGCAGTTTTAATTATACAGTTTTCACAAGGAGTGTTAGTTGACATACTTGCCCCAGAAAATCAATGCCACCTTCAATCTTCAGCATGGATCAGTCAGCCACAGACTCCAAGCCACTAAACTGGGCATTTAGTATACAGGCTATTCTAGTAAGAGTTCTGAAAAACACAGCTTTAGCTAGAAAAGAGTTCTGAAAATCCATATGCAAGGTGTGGGAAAAAAAAATGAGCAAATGCTTTTAACTTTACTCAGATGTGTCCCTCCACTGCCATTTCTTTTTCCCTTTTGACATTTCTCAGGAGAGGAAGAAGAGGACTGTGGCTGAGCAGTGCAGCTCACAGTCACTGGGGCTCTCGCTGTCCCTGTTATGTTGCAATTCAGATCCAAATGAAGTAACATTATGCATTTTTTGAATTCCAGTCTGGTTTTCTTTCCACTTGCCTGGCACGATTGCACAGGTTTTTCCAGCAGAGGGCAGTGGCATATTACTGGTAGTAATGCTGTTAAAATCAAGCAAAAAATTCAACAAGAGTCTTCTCATGTAAGCACAGGCACAGAGATATGTGGGAGAGTTCATATCAGGTTTGTCTATTATTTAGTAATCTGTTGCATCAGTGGATAAAGCAAACGTTCTGCACTCGGGGAAGTGAGGGCAGAGAGCTGTCTGCCTGCATTTGGTCATATTTAGTTGAAAGAGTAATACGGAACGTCTCTATTTTCTTTTGCTGGTTGCTGCATATTCTCCTTTTTTGCTCTGAGGGGTTGCAATGGAAATAGCAACTGCTGCACTGCTGTCAGCTGAGCAAACAGAGACAGCTCTCCATTTCAAGCTTGCACATTAGTTTGTTCCATCACTGAGCAAATGATTTGATCTGATGGGATGCCATCCTGTGACTCAGAAATTCACTGTGGGATAATTGTCCAGGGAGGAAAATAGCAGCAGAGTTGTATTGACCGTGGCATGCAGGCCCATACCTTCCTACCACAATTTTCCCTCAATAACATCATGAAAGATCTGCCCCCAGCAGGAACCTCTGCTCCACACACTTTTTCCTTATGTCACATGTGAGCCATGTAGGTACACTGCTGACCTCTTGACTGCTCTGTCATGGGGCAGGATTGACCAGAAAGCTGCACCATGGGCAAATGGCACCCTGTTGGAATTAAAATGTGTCACCAGTAATTCTGGCAAGAACTGCAAAGGAAAAAATTCTGAAACAGTTTGAATCACCTCATCCATCCATCACCACACTTGTCCTGGGAGTCCAGCTGCACTGGCACTTCTCTTTCCATGTGTGCACCAGTTTTTCTCTGGTACCAAGCTAAGGGAAGGAGGTGGTTTGGGGCAGGTGGGGCAGGTCCAGTCAGGCAAAGATATACCCTGCTTCAGCCTCTCCTTCTTTATCAGGAAAAAATAAATAATTAGGGATGATTGCCTTGAAGGCAGGAAGGAGTGGTGGGAGGAAGGCCCAGGATCAAACCTGCACTTGTACAGAGAGGGGCAGAAGACTGGAATGATGGATGTTGTGACACCATCACTGCTCTGAAACATCCGTGGTATTACTGTTGTACACATACAGAGTCAGGGCACAACTACAGTGCCGTAACAAACCCTCTTAGTGACATTACACAGGTATGGCTGTGCACGTGGAAGGAGTCAGGATGAGTCCCTTGCCACTTCTCTGATCCATACAATGAACACCACTTCCCAGGAGAGATGACATGCCAGTATGCTACTCATTCTTGCTTGGAATGACTCACTGCTCATATCTAGTCATTTCTAGAAATATTCATGGTTGAGTTGGGCATTATGCAGGTATTGACAATACTACTCAGAACACAGAGCTGCCACCAATTTAAAACAGTCTTTCTGCAAAAGTTGTTCAAGGAAGGACTGTGACCATGGGAAACCCCAGCACTTGCAAAGCTTTGCAGGAGCACCAGAGGACAAGGACTGAAATACTATGATTTCCCAAGCAGAGAGCAACTCAAGGAGTACTTGGGGGAGTTTTGTGCATATTTGCAACAATGCAGTGTGGGTCATATCCAAGTTGAGCTCTCCAAGTAAGGCAGCTTGGGGGTAATGCAGCTCCAACTGCTGAGCTGGACCTGTATCCACGGATGTCTTCTTCCATAACCTAGAGATGGTGGTGACTGTGGAACAAGAGCCAAAACAAACACTCTTGCAAGTTGGCGGGATGTATTTTGAGCCAGAGCTAAAATAGGATTTAGGCATGCTAAGCCTTAAAATAGTGATCCAAACCAGCCCTCATCCCCTGCGCTGGTTAGGTGTCAGCTCTTGCTTGAGATAAGGAACTTACATGAACTTTATCTGCATTGAACTGAAGAGGAGCTGAGGTCAAGTCCACCACTTTTTAGTAGATGTCTCCTTGTGGAGGTACTCATTCCAGGTCTTTTCACCAGCATCGGATAAAGGCACGGTGAAGTGCATCTATCATGGTGCTTCTGATGTGGCTGAGCAGGAGGAGAAAAGCTGAATGCACATTTCATTGCAGAAAAGATCAACCCAAAAAAGATTAGCATAGGCAGAAGAAGCCTGTCCCTGTGAGTGTGACAGTCATATACTGTTGCTGGGTAACAGATGGATAACTTTAACTCATCCTGTTCTCTTATTCTTGCTTATTTTTAACTCTTCTCAAAGAAGAGTCTTTCTCACTTAGCCTATTCCTTTACCCAGAAAACTGTGTAAACTCTGGGAAATATCTGTACTCTGGTTCAGCAAGTAAGCAATCCTCTGACTATGTTTTATCCTACCATATGCTTTCTACATTTAAGGAAGGTGATCTTCTGATTATGATCAGATTGGACATCAACTGGAAAATCGCATAAGAATCAAATATAAATTGCCCCAGGAGAAGCTTTTGTCTTAGTGAAGCACCAGAAGACTTTCAGGACAGAGGGGACTCTCCATCACTGTAAATGTGTAAGAACAGT